ATATTTACATTTGCACAGTTGTATACTTGCCATGAGGCAAATGTCTACAGCCACACAGTCTGTGTCAAGAAGCAGATCTAACGTAGCTCTTGCCTAATATTGGTTCTTAATATATTCAACAAATCTTGTGTCCTCTATACTTAAGTGTTTATAACCTTCTAGAGATGTCCTATTCCTGAAATATGTGTTTGTCCGCATCTACTTACTGTAGAAAGAACTTGAAGTTACAGACTCATCAGCTAGTGAGGAGCAGGAGCCTAACTGAATATAAGATCCCTTAAACTTTTGTTATGTTTTTTATAGTGTTGTGGGCAAATTTGATAAATGATTCAAACATAAACTCTGAAGGAGCTGGTCAGAATAAAAATGTAAAGTAGTGCTCAGCTATAAAAATGTCAGTGCCTGGCAGTCAGAGCGTGCATGTAACTGATCTCTTCCTGTGTGTCATCGTCTCTGGTGTCTCTAGGTGACCGGAGTCATAGAGGACAAAGAGGGCACAGCCCATTACATCCTGTCAGGAACCTGGGACGACAAGATGGAGAGTGCCAAAATAGTGGACAGCAGCCAGGGATGCGGAGGCTCTGAAGGCAAACAAAAGACAGTTTATCAGACTCTTAAGCCCAAACTGTTGTGGAAGAAATATCCTCTCCCGTATGTTTATCTAATCGAACACCTTACTACCTCACCTTTATGATCTGTCCTCTCCTATTTCTCTTCCCTCTCTGGCTTACTGTTTGTCCTAATGTATGTGTGTCTCTACTATCTTTCCATCTCCAGAGATAACGCAGAGAACATGCACTTTTTCTCCTCCTTGGCCCTGACTCTCAATGAGCCAGAAGAGGGTGTCGCGCCCACTGACAGTCGCCTGCGGCCAGACCAGCGGCTGATGGAAGCCGGCCTGTGGGATGAAGCAAACAGCCAGAAGCAGCGTCTGGAGGAGTGTCAGAGGCTAGAGAGGAAAAGAAGGGAGGTGCAAGCCAATCAGGCCCTGGAGGAAGGTGAGAACAAGGAAAACAACAAGAACAATAAGGATTAATGTCTCCCTTCACTCAAAAATGGCTTTCGCTTATTGTAACTTCAGTTGGATGTTTGAGCTTCACTGTGCAGAATGATTTACATGCAGTATGACACTAGAAGGCTGTTTTCAAATTCTTGTGTTGAAGGGGGAAGGTTTCTCTGCTCCTTTTAAATCAGATTTTAACACATCAAAGTACGAGCATGATTATGTGACATCACAACTAGTTTGAAAGGTCCAATGTGCAATTACAGTGGAGTGTAAGATATTAATCTACAGCCTTAAATTTGATTTAATTAAAGGCAGTGGTAAAAAGAAGTCTTCAGTCTTGATCAGCAAACCTGCAGAGTAACTTTATATCTTAAAACATGTGTATCTTCATGATAGAGATTCTGCCTTTTACTACTTGAGATGTATTGCGGGTGGTGTTGAACTGCCTGTCTTTGGTCATTTTTAGTCTTGAAGTGAATCAAATAACGTTTTTGTCTATTTCTTGGAACATGTACATTCAAAAGCTAAAATGCAACTCTGCCACTAATTGCTAAGACTACTGCTTCAATTGGTGTTTATATGGAATTAATTGAAAAATCTTTTGGACAAACGAAATATCTTTAATCAAAACTTAAGTCCAGTAATCAGGATTCAGCTTTCTACTGGCAGTCTGGTTATTTTCAACAAAGAGTACAATAGCTCGCGTGGAAGCAGAAAGTAAGACAGAATAGCACAAATTCAAGTGCCTTAAGAAAACATGATTCTGTGTCATTAGGGCAAGACATCGAGGGTTACCAGCCACTGTGGTTTGAGAAGAGGACAGATGACACAACAAGAGAAAGCACCTATGTGTATAGGGGCGGCTACTGGGAGTCCAAAGAAAGGCAGGACTGGAGCCAATGTCCGGAGATCTTCTAGGACAAAAGTTCCGCTTACCCCTTGGCAACAGACAGGCTGAGTGGTTCCTCCTGATGAAAGGATATGCTGTGAGTTATGGACAGTGTGTGTGTGTGTGTTTGTTGTGTGTGTGTGTGTGTGTCAAAGAATTTCAAGCACAAAACAAGCTCCTGCTCCCTCAAGCTTCCTCCTCTACTAGAACTTGTGTTTTTTTAGAATGCATGGCCTCAGTTTGTGTCCGCTTACTGCAGAGAGGTAGTTTATGAGAGTACATAGAGTTCTCGTGTGTGTGGGGCTGAAATATTGACATATGCTTAATAGAAAAATGATTTCTGCACCACACCATGCCAATGCGTGTGTAAAGGGATAACTTGTGGGCAAGGAGTGCCGCGGATGTTTTAGTACAAGCATTGAATGTCTCATTCTCCTCAAAGCTGGAACAACATGTTCCTCATGCTGGGCTCTGACTGAGACGCCAGGCTTTAAAAAGGACCGTAGCAGGACAAAGCATTCATCTGCTAAAAAGCTTCACTTCAGAACTTTATTTATTGGTTTCCTTTGTTCTTGGGGACTTTTACTGTTCTGCTTCTTGAAATTAAACTATCTTGAAGGATTCACAGTTACTGTCCAGTCTTGGACACATTTTTAACAGACAGCCTGTGTTACAATCTGGGGATATGGAGTTTGAAAAGTTTACCAAGCTAACTAAAGACACTATTGAGTATGGGAAATGTAGGATCCGGCATTTTTGGAGCTTGAACCATACTAAGGACTAAAAGTCAGATGATCTCGACCTCTCCTGCATCTTTTTGACCACTCACTTTTAAAATTGACCCCAAACTATGGAGATACAACAGTAAGTTGCCACTACAAATATCTTAAGACTGAAGTCCCACTGAAGTATAAATCTGCTAAACCTCTGGGATTTTCTTCACCAAGGAATTATATCGGTGCTCGATGGTAATTTTAGCCTTATTTATATAATGAAGTAGTAAGTCCCTAGTAACCTGGCAGACTATTTTTTTTTTTTGAGGGGACTTGTATACTTCAGGGTGAATTTAATTAAATATCAAAATATCAGGGTTTATCATCTTGGTAAGTAGAAACAGACTTGTTTCCCCTTGTTAAAACAGTAGAAATGGCTAGCTCTATGAGTGGTTTCTATATTGAAAACTATGTTGCATTATTTGAACATGTCAGCAATAACACAACTCGCAGTCACTTAAGAAGAAAATACTCCCAAGTCAGAAAGATGTGTTTTAGTATCAGTATTCTATAAACCGAATGATAGTTATGTACAGAAGTCTGATTTATACACATCAGTCAATGACTGGAAAACAAGTATTATATTACAAATAAAAGGCTTAGCAATACATTTGCTAAGGCTTTTGTGTGAAAGCAAGGACTGATGTACATTAGTAGTAAATATACATTATATAACCAATATTAACCTATTTATTTATAGTTTTAAGCTTACTGTTTATTATAACATGTATGACTGCCTGGCTGGTTTTGGCCTGTATATAGCAAGAATATAATAGATATAGAATCAGCTGATTTAAATCACTGTAAGAAAATATTGTTTCACGTTACTTGAACGTTCACACTTTGATCACTACTTAAACTCTATTTGTGTATACATAATCTTAAATGGAGTCAAGATTGTATACCATTTAATGAGATCCTGGGGTAATTAAAATATGAACAAGTTTATAAGATACAGTATATAATACTGATGATGCAAATAAGTGTTGTTCAAATAAAGCACAATGTTTTGTTTTCCTGCAGGTAACGATACATGCTACATAAACTCCATGGCAGCGTATAGCTATGCATGATTTTAGAGTGCTGAAGCACTTCTGTATTGAAAAACCTCTTCACCCAGCTAACTGTTTGTGGACTTTCTGAAACATGATGTGAACTCACCTTTTGTGCCCAATGACCTCAAAAATTATCATTTTTGAGCTCAAATAAAAACATAAAGCTGTCACCGTGCTGTTGTTTACTGTCAAACCAATGTTGTTTCAATCTTTTACTCACGAGGGACAGATGATACAGAAGACGTCCCGAGAAACAGTGTCTGTCACGATGCCTCAAGGCCAACAACAAACAATGTCTCCTGGGACACTGTCTCTGGTCTGAGGTTGAATACCAGCTGCTGTCACAAGTACAAAATAACAAACCAGATGCCAGAAATGTCAATAAATAAAAGACTTGCTAAAGGATATTTGGATATTTAAACATCCCATAAACTTTATCTCATGATAGTACTCCATTATGTGTCACAGCGTATTTCCCAGAACTATGTAATAACATAATAACATTATTGTGGTTCCTTTAAAAACTAATTCCACAAAGTTCTTAACAAAATCAAGAAAAACTGAGACTGATTTCTGATGTCTAGTGTCTGAACTTCATGGAAAAAGGTTTTGTAAGCCTGCCTGGGTTTTTGCAGGAATTAAAGGGTCAAAGATGTAGCCAGTTAACTTAATTATAAATTCTACAAACAGATGCAAAACAAGCATGTGGATCACTAACTTCTTTGAATGGCCAACCTTCTAGGATGCCAACATGTATGTGAATTGTGAACAGTGTTGGGTTTTTTCGGTACAATTGTGGCTTATTTTTTAAAATGGTTTGCATTCATTTCAACGGGGCTTTCCTGCAGACTGAAAACTGTTGGTGCATCTGAAGCTGATTGTTGTTCAAATCCACAGTAGTACAGCATGATGAAATTGTGTGTCTGGTGTTTGTCCCAAGGAAAGCTCCTGTCCTGATGTGCCAAAGAAAAATCAGTAACTAAGTTGTTTAATTGCTGTAATTCCCTCGATGGTGAAGAAAAGGTAAAGACATTGCATGTACTTTCACCTGAACTCAACTGTCATTCAGTCACAAACCCCCATCATGATTTTCACGGTGGATATTTCAATAAAGTTTACTGCATGCCCTTAAATAGCATTATTAACCAACCCACCTCCTTATTTCCTTGGTGTACTTGGTGTACTATACTTACTTTAAACCAAACAAAGAACATATTTATTGGTTACGTCAATTATTTGCATTTTGAAAATTAAAGCCGGATGTTGCCACCTGTATGTTTCATTTATTCATCCTGTCATAGAACACGAGTACATCATTGTCATTGGATGGCTCATGATCATGTGAGGCTCCAACACTTCGAAACCTGCACACAGAGATGTTGCGTCCAGCTTGCACCATATGGTCTGAATACTCCTCCTGTAAATGAGTGGCATCGCCCTTTAAACTAAACCATCCAGTAACAATCGCTTCGGCCTGGCTGGCAACGCGGTGGACCGACTGGCGGAGATTTGGGGGGTGCTGCCAGTGTAATAACAAGGTAGAAACGATGAAAACTCATCTTTTCAGAAAACGTCAGTGACCGCAGTCGTGTTGTAGCTAACATTCATTGTACTGTAAGCTGACGCCGCGTCCAGCCACGAGCAGCGGCTGCTGCCTTGTTATGTAGCTGACCTAACGTTAGCTAACGAGCGTTAGCATGACAGCATATAAACCGAGAGCAGAGAGACATGCAGCTGTTTGGTGTCGAGTGACAGCTCAGCGAAGTTAACCCACCTTGCCCTTCCGGCAAGCTAACGTACTAACGTTTAGTGTGTTAACGGTTACAAAGCCGCCCTGCTGTGCGACAGAAAGAGCCGTTAATTCAAAGCCGCCGTCCAACGCCACACGGTGCGAGCTTGTGTTTGGGAACAACAGTTTGATTTGTCAGGCTTTCCCTCTGCTCCGGTGCCTGTCAAGAGAATCGCAAGATCTCCTCGGGCAATTAGGTAAGCTGCTATTTAAAGCCAGCCAAAACATAACTCATGTGAGCTGCTGCTGTCTGATATTACAACATTTAGACACAGACGTATCCAGTGCGTTACCTAACTTTGCTCATGATGTTTACTACGCTGCTGAGGTTTTTGGTGCATCACACCGAGTCGTCACCGTCAGTCCATTACTGCATGTCGGGATCATAACCAATCCCATCAGTCCTGTCGTGAGGAAGGCGCGTACTGTTTTCCAGCCCGCCCCGAGCGGCTCTCTTCATCCCTCCCTTCTTGCCAGTCCTCTTGGTCCGGCGTATGTCATTTCGCCTGCGCAGGGTAAGTTACACAACCAAAATAGAAAAGCGTCTGCAGGCGGTGCTCACAGGCAGGTTATATTCGCGATTTAAAGCCGGTTCGGTCATGCGTTGTATTTGGAAATGAGAGCCCTGGACTCAACATGTGTTTTCCTTTTAGAGAGAACAATGATACGAACATGATCAGCGCCGATGGCCTCTCTAAATGCGAGGCGACTCTCCAAGACAGAGGCAGGAGGAGGCCACCCGCAGAGATGCTCCATCTGCTGTCAGCTGTCATTGTTTGGCTGGTGACGGGAACCACCATCTCCAGCCTCAACAAATGGATATTTGCTGTTTACAACTTCAGGTATCCTCTGCTGCTGTCAGCGCTGCACATGCTGACAGCCATAGTGGTGGACTATGGGCTGATCAAGCTGCGGGTGGTCCGTCACAGAGGGGTTGGAGAGCAGGACCTGACCCCCAACGCAAAATGTAAGGTGTTCCTGTTGAGTCTGACATTTTGTGCCAGTATCGCCTTCGGGAACATGGGTCTGAACTATGTCCAGCTGTCATTTGCACAAATGATCTACACTACCACTCCGCTCTTTACTCTGGCCATCTCCTCTCTGATCCTGGGCAAGCAGCATCACTTCCTCAAATACACAGCCATGATGCCCATCTGCCTGGGAGCCTCCTTCAGCATCATGGGAGAGGTCCAGTTCGATCAGACCGGCTGCTTCTTTGTGTTTGCAGCGACTATGTTGAGGGGAGTCAAGTCCATTCAGCAGAGTAAGTAAGACTTCTGCTGTATCACTTCAGTGCTTTCTGTCCTGCTTGTCACCCCGCACTGTGGAACTTAACATTTATGTTTTGTTGTGTTTTTGTAGTTGCTATAGAAAGCAACCTTTGTAACTGAAATACTCTTTTTTTATATATACCACAGACATCTGAGGTTATTTTACTGTTTCCACCCCGGACACCACAGCAGTCTGCGGTCCTGGAACTTTTTAGTGATTCAGTGATTCACCCCTCAGTCCAGTAACACACTCACACATTAAGGTGGGATGTCACAGTGGTACATTTTCTGGTTTCTCAGGGAACAAGATACAAACATCAGTACGTGTCTATAAGTAACAGTGGGCAGGGTTTCTACACAACCTGAGGACGAGCTGATCAGTCTACAAACAGTCAGTTTTTGAAGGTCGGAAAAGCTCAGAAAGGCTGGAAGTGACAGATACGTTTCACCATCTGGTCAGCTGATAGATTCGTGGAGGCTTTTAAAAAGTTTCTCTTAATTTGCCACCCATTTTTTCTGAATAGACTACAAAAAATTCCAAAACAAATACAGAGGCCCAGAAAACACTGACTGCACTCAAAGGATGTGTTCTTTCTTGCAGAATTAGAAAGGAAGACATGCTGTTCCTAGAAAATGTTAACATGGTGAAATAAAGAGACTTTCAGTTCAAAACACCCATTTTAAGATTTGAATCTCAAAGTCACGTGAGTAGGGCCTTTACTGCCTCATCCAGTGTGCTTATTTATCTAATGTTCTGTGCTCTCAGGGAAGGAATTTGTGGAAGGAATTGCTTTAAAGTTGGTTCTTGTGTGCAGTGGATTAGGCTCTCTAACATCATTAGTCTACACAGCGCCGTAGTTGGCAGAGGGAAAAAAAAAAGGGAAAGTAATGTCTTTCTAAAAATATATAGAGGCCCTGCATGTAATTGTTACGTAACACTAAAGCAGATATTCAGTTTGGCTCAGAAGGATGTTCAGCTACATACTTTGTACCTGGAGGAGCAGAGGCAGGCTTGTGACCAGAGGGGTCACTAGTTCAAAAAAATCCAGTATAGCTGAATAGTGAAAACCCATACTGCAAGACTGTAAATGTGTTTAGAAAGTTGACATTTTTCTCAACAAGAAGGACGAATTTAAGTCCTGCTTTTGCTTTTGGAGCAGAATTTATAAACTATGTTGAGTAGATTGAAGCTGCTGCGTGTTATTTTATGTTTTCATGACTAAAACTTTTGAGTTCATCCTGAGGTGCCAAAGTAGCCGAGGGATGTTGTCTCAAGTTTCAACAAGCTATTTTCATCCTCTCTGGCTTGTTGTTGTAACAGTTTCCATTATACGTTCTTTTTTCTGACACACTTTGGTAGTGCACCTGTTTGTTGTTTCAAGGCCCAGAGTGAGAGCATTTTTGCAGGTTTGGCACATTATGTCGGTAAACGCAAGTGTTTACAGTGAGTGAACAGTGTTGGAGCTGCCTTCGCTCTTAATAAAACAAGGTTTCATGGAGTGTTTGACTCCTACATGTCCAGACATCCAGTTTCCAAATGGGTGTTTTGCATAATTTCCTGCTATCAGACAGCTTCAAAGCTTGTCAAACTTTTGAATGAGCTGATCAGTGAACAGAATAGAGTCTGGCCTCGTTATTTTGACACAGGAACCTTCTGTTATGTCACCTGAACAGTCCACTAAAATACTGCATGTTTCTTAAAATATTTGAAGTGAGAAAACAGGCCTTGTAGTTGCTGAATCAGATTGAAGGCAGCAGGAAAAAAATAGTTTTGATGTCTCTCTGGTCTTTACGCGCCCATACATTTCTGTGTTTACTTCAGGCAAAGAAAATCAAGTCTGCAAGCTATTTTGATCCTCTCTGTCACTTGTTGTTTCAGTACCCCATATAAATTTCTGTGACACACTTCAGTAGTGCAGGCCTTGACACATGATACTGTATGTCGATTAAAAACTACATCATGTCTCTAACCACCGCACATGTTTCTCTATGTACTCAGGCATCTTACTCCAGGAGGAGAAAATCAACTCTGTGTTCCTGCTCTACCTGATGTCCATTCCTAGCTTCTGCATCTTGGCCGTGGCAGCTCTGGCCTTGGAAAACTGGGCTGTGCTGGAGTCGCCGCTGCATTACGACTGCCACCTGTGGGTCTTTATCTTGCTCAGCTGCCTGGGCTCAGTCATGTACAACTTGGCCAGCTGCTGCGTCATCACACTCACCTCTGCCGTCACTCTGCACATCCTCGGCAACCTGAGTGTGGTGGGAAACCTGCTGTTGTCTCAGCTGCTTTTCGGCAGCGAGCTATCCGCCCTCAGCTGTGCCGGCGCGGTGCTGACATTGTCTGGCATGCTCATCTATCAGAACTCAGAGTTTATCGTCAGCTACATGGACGCACGGAAGGCCAAAGCTAAAAAGTCCAGAGAGGTGGATTTTCACACTGTAAGTGGAGAGGACTTGGACACAGGTAGTGCATCTGAACCAACATATCATCAGCAGAGAACAGACGGGAAACAGGAAGACAAAATGGACTGAACTGACAAGATGAAGGAGAGAATAAAATGTTGAAGGATAAAGTGGGAGTTCTGTGTCTTTAAAAGGGAGTGTGACCTTTTAAGGCCATCGTCACTGATGATGTTTTCTTCCTCACTGTGCCAATTTATTTCTCCTCTGGTCACACAGAAATGGAGTCTAAAGACAGGAAAAGGTGGCCTTTATTTATCACAGTGATGGTTAAATTCTCTCCTTCATCTGTAAATCACTCATACATAGCCTATAGCGGTATATGCATGCATGTGCACACTAAACTGTTTGATACCTCATGAGGTATTCACACTGTCACTCATACTACTCCACTGTGAAAATGTGCTCTTTTACAGAGGGCTCTAATCGATATTTTGGGTGGCTGTTGTGGATATTGCAGGCCACATGTGAAACTGAGGTGAGGCGGGGCTGAGAGAACACTCCCCCTCATATCTGAACTGGCACAATTTGTAATAAAAATGTATATTAATAGTACTGTTACCTGACATTCACCCGGCCCTGTCATGGTAGGGGACTGGGGTTTTTGGCAGCTTTTTTTGTTGTTCGTATGTGAAGCAGGGAGCTTGGTATAAGGACACTAAAACTTTTTTTAGAGACAGAAGTTACAGTGATGGACAAAGCCAACATTTCTGTGCAATGAGATGCCTCTTTTCCTCTACTGAAGCACATTTTAATAAGAGGCCTGAACGCTGTGTTTTGTCCTCTCCTGTAAACCTCTGGCTTCCCACTTAAGGCCTAGATTTTGTTCTCATACCATTTTTAAAAGATTGTCTCTGTAGAATTAGTTCAGTTATTTCCATCTTTTACAACAGCACGCTCGCTGCAGCAGTCCTCGATAATTAGGTTCATGAGGTCTCTAAGGAGTGTCACTCAACTTTAGCTGTCTTTTCCCTGCGGAAGACATGAGGAAAATGAAGATTGAGCTGTCCTTTAAGGTCGCTTCTTAAATCTAACCTGTGTCATTTGTTAGGTTGAATTTTTCCCTTTTTGTGGGTGACATTTTCAAAAAGAAAATTTCCATTTTTTTGTATGTATGTGGAAAAAGATATTTATTTTTGAATGGCCATAGCAATCACTTGCTTTGTAACGCTGTAGATTTTGGTCCTGAAGTATCTTGCCTACATGTAATATTAGACGGCACTAATGTCTCCTGTCTTCTCTCTTTAGGGAAAAGTCAGGTATATTAGGCAGAAGACTGCATGCCGTTGAAAGCATCTTAAAAGATCTGGGATGCCTGATAGGTACATTCCCTCCTACATGTAGGGCATGTCAAAAGTTTATTTTGAAAGTGTTCTTAGTCCACTGTGTGAAAATCAAAGACTGTATAAAAGTAGTGGACGTAGCCACTGTGACTTCACCCATTTGTTTGTGGACTACTGTTTTGAAGCCTCGAGTTTGATATTTTGGCGGTTGCCATCTTGATTGTTTGTTTGTTTTTGTTTTTTTGGGTGGGGGTGGAGCCAAAAGTTACCATATTTTGATGAGAGGGTGGAACTGGGGAGGAGCTAGGTGTGGAGCTGAGGTTATCAGCTAACAATAGTGCTAGCTAGCTTGTTTACCCAGGTGCATCTGTAATTCACATCTTCAAAACTATCATGTTAATGGGATACTAATTTTAGCTAGCAACAGGTAAATGTGGTAGTGACATGTCAATCACAAGGTATCCATTCTCTAAAGCATACCTTACTTTTTCATCTATTTCACTCTAAATGGGACCATATTTTAAAAAATGAACATTGTGCTATATTGAAGAAGACTTGAAACTAGTGATTGAGACCATGAATTCATTAGGAAGGTGTTTACTGAGGTAATAAATCAAGTGAGATCATTTTCTCTGTCACTTCTTTACAATACTTCTTTTTGTTGCATCCAGTGGAGTCGCCCCCTGCTGGCCATTAGGAAGAATGCAGGTTTAAGGCACTTTATACTGGCTTCACTTTTCAGACCCAGAGGCTACATCCACTTCTTTTGTACAGTCTATGGTGGTAATACTGGTTCTGTCAGTGACTAGACATGCTAACGTCCTGTTTTGAGCTCTCCCAAAACAACAAATAACAGAAGAAGTTTTCCGAACAGCCGCCACGTTTTCTGTATACAGTATTTTGCCGTAATGATAACTGCTGACAGGATTGTATGTTGAAAGGTTTTACTAAATGTATCACTGATAACATTTCAAGGTGCCATTGATAAAATTACACTGTCCTGAGCATCATATCATGTGATCCTTGATGCTTTTCAAAATATCCCAAGAAAGAAATGAACCAGTTTGCTTTGTTTTAAAATTTCAAAACACTAACTGCTGTTGTCAGCAATTCTCAATTACAAGTTTAAAGAGAATGTACAGCAGATCATTTCATTGGTTTTACCTTATTGATTACCTCAGCTGTTAAATAGGACTTGTTATGCCCTTGTGGTCATTGATTACTAACTTTTTGGACTGAGATCAAGGAGCTTTTCAATACCCAGAATAGAACTGCAGCATGTGTATGATGGATTTTATTGTGGTCAATAAAGAAGACATCTGATCACAGATGTCAACATATGCTAAAATAGAACCGCCTCAGCCATCATTGTTTTGGTTTTGTAACCTCAGTTTGGAAGGTTTGGCTGCTCATGTTGGGTAGATGATGAGCGTGGGGAAACAGACAATGTGTACATATTGGTTTGGATTGTTTGCAAAGCTACTTTGGTTGTAAATAGTTATTTTATTATATTTATGTATTTTCTAGTCATGTTACTGTTTTAAACTGTACTGGTTAAAGAATGAAACGTTTGCCTCATGCCTTATTTGGACATTATGTAGATAAGAAAGGATTGATGATTTTTATTTGTTGTTTTGGTCAAATTGTTTGTTTAATACTTTGAATGCCAACAGCAGCCACACTTGCTTCTGTTTAGGGGCAAAGATGTGGGTGATTCATAAAAACATGATCTGCAATTGCTTGAATAAAAATAAATGGGCTGGTACAATAATAAACAATAAAGAAACCAACCCCCTTATTACGGAGTCTGAGTTGTTGTCTGCATCAAATAATTCTGTCACTGTTAAACCTGCATATTTTAGTTAAAGTCAACATTTACTGTAGGTGTCCTGTACCAAAGCCAATCATTTCAGCCGTGCTTGTTATAGTCCTGCGACAGATACCGGAGTTATTTAATTTTTGTGTCAGAGCATTTGATTGCTGTCCAGGTGTAAAAATAATTTTTAAATAAATTGCCTACCCCAGCTTTTAGTGAAGATAGTTTTTTTCAGTCTTTAGTTTTTTGACGGTAATTTTCTGTTTACATATTAAACCATTCAATAACATACATTGAGATGGTGAAAACCGTTACAGGTAAAGCTGCCTTTAGGGCTGCATCTAATGATTATTTTTATTATCCATTAATCTGTCGATTTGACTTAAAGCATTTACTATATCAAACCGTAGAAACGGCAGTTGGATGTTTCCAGACCTCAACGCAACGTCTTCAAATTGCTGTTTTATCTGACCATTAGTACGAAACAAAAAAAATATTAAATTATGTAAATAGCAAAACATGAGCAAATTCTCACACTGGAAAGCTGGAAAATCTTTAGCATTTTTACTTCATAAAATTTCTTAAATAATGATAAAAAAAATGTTGCTGATTGATTTTCTGCCCATCAACTTATTGATTAATCCACCAATCATTTCAGCAGTACATGCCTTTTCAGAAACATGACTTGTTACAGTGTTAAAAGCACCCAGGTGTAATTAATCGAGGCTGAATTCCATTTAGCTGCTTCAGTTTCAGGATCCTGGTGTTGTGCATGCTGGCTCACTGTCACACTGTCATGGCTTATTGGGACACTTGGATCATAACGGAGCCATCATTACTGTTATCGGTATCCCCTTTGTGTTTTTTTACAACACCAAGTCAAAAAGTCTGCAGTGAAACAGGCCTGTTGAGCCATCAGCATGTTGTCATACAGTGACATACATTGAGGTCATTATGAAGCAGTTGTGAGTGTTCGACACTTGGTGGAGCAATTTCTCTGCATTGTACTTTATTAGATCATTCTCTAAATCTGCCTTAACATTTAAACACTAAGTAATCACTGCTGAAGTTGAAGAGTGTATTTTGCTAATGTTGTTTTCTTCCAGATTTGTGTATCTGTGTGTGTGCGTGTGCGTGTGTGTGTGTGTCCAAAATGTAAATCATTAGGGTAAGGGTTTGTGTGTGTGTGTGTGTAAGAGAGAGAGAGAGATTCCTTTACCTCTGTAAACAGGGGGCTACTGGTCAGCCTTTTGCCTGAATAAGGCAGTGCTCCTCACTTTTTTGCCCTTGTTAACTCTTTGTTTTCCAAGATTTCTCCAAGTGAAGCGTAACCAAGTGAAAACTGTGATTAAAATAAACTAAAGTTTGGCAAAGGGAATGCCCCATAAAGTTTCACATGACATCATCCAGGATGCAGTGACAAAGGGAGGAGAGACTCTGCTGAAGGTTGACAGAGACTGATGGATGAGGGCCTGATGTGTTTCTCCCTCCTCTTCCTCCTTCCCATCTTGGGTGGTTCATGTAAGCAACCTCCACTCGCTCTCCAAACATGCATCCTTATGAAGCACTGGGGTGTGAGGTGTGATCGAACGCCTAGCGCTCCACAGCTCTCCAGACAAGTCTTAAAGGAGCATCGAGGAGGAGGACGAGACTGCTGAAAACTTTTAAGAAGCCCAAAAGCTGCCGCGTAGACACACAAGTTTGCATTCTGAAAACTGGTGAGTGACACCAACCCCTTTTCTCAGTGTCTGTTTTTCCCGTTTTTATTGCTTTACTCTTCACATCTTGTGCCATTAGGCTTTACTGCAACTCCTTTCTCCCTGTCTGAGTGCATAGTTTCACGCTGTTATCAGATTCTTTTAGTAATGGTGTTGTTCCACTACATTACTATATTTGTACGCGTTTCTACCCCTTCTGTGCTCAGCCAGTTGCTGAGATACACTGAGGTGATACTTTAGTAGGACAAACATCTTCCCAATGGCTGCGCAGTTTGTGTCTGTTAAGACTCACACAGCTGTTTATATCTGAGTTACAGTGATGTGATTTTATGCTCTGTTTGTGACATTTGCACATTGTTTAGTGTAAACAATGAAAAATATCTGGTCTGTTTGGTCTGTATAAATAATTTAAGTCTGTGAATGATAAACTTGTGATTATTCAGAGTCTGAGTTTATGAGTAAGCTGATGGTCTCCCTTTCAAACATTATGCCTCTCTCCAACTGTCTCACAACACCAAGAGTCTTTAAGTTCTTGTCCTGTTCGATATTCTCAGGAGACGTATATCTTACTTTTACTCCTCAGACATGGAGTCAAAGACTGATGTTGCATCAGCAACGGTGACGAGCGAACTGGCTGCTATTGAGGATGAAGAGGTTCTCAACAAGATGGTGAGCCAGTGATTTGTGGCTTTCAGTTTGTTTATGTCTGCTCGCATCATATCAGGATAAATCTGGTGGTTAACTGACCTCATCATCTAATATCATGCAAACAGTCCTGAAAGAGGATGGAGGGAATCACGTCCTTACACATATTCAATTTAACTTAAAATCAACCTTTTAACGTTTAATCAACTTTTTTTCTTTTTTTAAAAAGAGTTGACCTTTAACCCAGTAATACAAGATTATGTATACGGTATATGTATATGCATGGGCAGAATATGTTTTTCTAAATTAAAGAAAAGTGATAACAGATCTCTTGTATGGGCTAACTTTGTTGTTCAGTCATTGTACACTATCTCTTAGAGCTGTCCAGAGGTTTGTGTCTCTTTTAGTCTCTCACTTTTTTAACCAGTGGTTTATCTCTTTAGCTGGACAATGCATCAGATTTTGAAGAGAGACGGATGATACGTGCTGCATTGAGGGACCTGCTCAAGAAAAAGAGAGGTAGAATCTCATAGCTGCTCCCATGCAGGAGGTAGCCATAAGTTACTATAATAATCTCTTTGTTATTCCTCTGGCGCTTTGCTCTCGTCTCTCCACAGATAAACGGGAGCAGGAGCGAGGGTCGAGGCAGCAGGACTTGAGACAGCAAGGCCTGAGCAAAGGAGAAACAACAGGCGGAGCTGTCAGCATAGGCAGAGCGTCAATGAATTGGCAGCCACCAGCAAACAGTACGTTTTTACAGACGCTCTAGGACACCCTGGGATATTTTAATGTGTTATCTAACTAATGTGAGCTTCTTTATATTAATGTCATTCTCTGCATCTTGTTAGAGCCGTCAGGCCAGCCCGCTCTATCAGCCTCTACTCCCTTAAACAGGACAGCAGGCGGGTGAGTCAGTTGTATGGTCAGTTTTGCATGTTTGGGCTCTACAAAGCAGGATTTTTAAAAAACAAAACAAATTTGAACAGGCAAATTATTCATTTAATCCCAGAGATGCCCACATATTTCACTTGTTATTTATTAAAACAATGTTGGCTATGCCTGCAAAACCATTTTAAGTAGCCACATGCCTGAAATGGTATATTGTGTTAACTGTGAGGTAAATCCTAATGGAATAGTGTTCAGATGGGACCTATTCATGTGGTGCCACTACTGATGCTGACTGCTGTCACACTTCTTGTATATTTAATATTTCCGCCCACCCAAAAAGAGGGAGAAAAATGTCAAGTTAAAAGATGAGGTGACGCATACTTTCTGTACATGCAGTGTATCTTCTTGTCTTTGTTTCTTCTCCTCAGCCAGGCCAGTCCTGCTGTAGCCCCAGTCCAGAAATGTCCTTCTGCTGCAGCACCCAATGCTAAAAATGTCAAACAGATGCTTCTGGACTGGTGCAGGGCCAAAACAGAGCCATATGAGGTAAATTTGACCTTACTTATTGCCTTGTGGAGCTATACATAGCTCTGCCCCCTATGTCTCATTCTCTGCCACTATATATTGTAAACTGATTCCCGTGTGTTATGAAACAGGGGGTGGACATCCAAAACTTCTCCTCAAGTTGGAAAGACGGCATAGCCTTCTGCGCCTTGGTGCACCGGTTCTTCCCTGACTCGTTCGAGTACTCCATCCTCAACCCCAACAAGCCCAGGGAAAACTTCCAGCTGGCTTTTAGCACTGCAGAGTGAGCTCTCATTCCTTATATGAAGAAGCTGTCTTGTCTTAATCAAGCTCGAGCGGTGCATTGCAGATAAGAACAAAGTGACTTTACGTGACTTTACGTGACTTTACTTTACGTGACTTTACACAAATTACGTACTTTTCTGTGTCATTGTTTGTCTTAGTTGTTTGTCAGTGACACTCACTTTCTGTCTGCAGAAGGCTGGCAGGCTGCCCCCCACTGCTGGACGCTGATGACTTAGTCCGGATGAAGGAGCCCGACTGGAAGTGTGTTTACACGTACATCCAGGAATTTTACCGCTCCCTGGTGGAGAAAGGCCTGGTCAAAACCAAAAAGCGACTGTAGACACGCAGAAGTCAGACAGCTTTCATGATTGGATGTGATTCAAATTTTTACAACTAGATACACATAAGCACGAGCTGAGGCCAAAAAGATAATAATATGCACCTTTTTCAACTGAATATTTACATATTGTCTGTGATTTTTGAGTTGCCATGAAGGAGAAGTATTTGATGTGTCTGGCTGACTCATCATGTTAATGTAAATGCACAGTGCCTAATGTATTTTTTTCAGTTTGTGTGTTACCAGGGACTTAAGGGGTGTCCATGTGCTCTCGGTGGACAGCTGGTGCTTAGGATCAGTACATTCCACTGAGATTACACATCTGCATTAATCCCAGTTTGGGAACAAATTTTATTTTTATGCTGTTGAGGGCCTGAATGTGTCATTATTAAAGACACATTTAATAAATATCCATTCCATTATACATGCTGTTGTTCTAACTGATGGTTAAACTAAAAGGTGCGGTAGATCCCAAAGTGTTGTATTTTCCTGACACCATATTCAACATCTCCTTGTGTTTCATTTAAAAGTGTTTAGCAAGGATTTTGTTATAAATGGTTTAGACTTATGTTGAGTGAATGTGGGGTGTATACAGTTAAAGGGGCACTCCACTGATTTTACACACAAAGTTCAGTTTACTTTTCACAAGAAGTACTACTGTACAAAGCTGGAGTGCTTCCTCTGTCTGAATAGTGTGCAATTTCTTTGGTGTTTTTGGAGGCTGTGGCTCTAGGGGGGAGCTTTGTACTGTGTCAGAAAGTAACCCTCAGGATGTCATTGGGGTTATCTGGGCTTGGGCTTGAGATTTCAGCAGAAAGCTTGTAAAAAGTTTGGATAGGTAATGCTATATAGGATTATTTAAATAATTCAACTGGCAGCACCTTTTCTAATGGGCATATTGAACATTGCACTGGCTTATAATTTACTTCACATAAGTACCACCAGAACTAAAGCTACAATCATTAATAATAGTAATCATCACATCTTTTGTTGTGTTAAAAAACATGCACACACGTATTGTTTGTAGGCTATTTAGGGGGAGAAGGTTTGGTCACCATGTCACTGTAACTGCAATAAATAGTCATTTTGAGTTTGTATTAGGAATCAGGACAATATTAGGAAAATCCCTTTCATAATGAAACACATATAGTCCCTATAAAAATTTAATTATTTGCAACAAGCACAAAAGTAGGCCAAGTTTTGATCGCAGCGGTACTTAAATGATTGCATTACATTGTAAGGGTGCCCAATGTGTCCAGTCCCGACCAGCTGAAGCGCTCTTTGCAGAGCAGCCCAGTTGATATGTACAGATATCACAGAGGGAGCAGATAGATAGCTATGCCAGACTGATATTGAATTATTAGCATGCTGATCAATTCTCCCTATCAGTGACGCACCACAATAATGCGTCACTGGTAGGAGATGTGGTCAATTACTTTTGGCCGGCTGTACTTTGCCAGCTGATTTTTGTTTTGCCTTTCCTCCTGCTCTGCACACCCAATTATCCACCACCCTCCCCCCAGGTGCTCACATGTTTTACCCAGAAAGAGAAAGAAAGAGAGAGAGAGAGAGAGAGCGTCATGGGTCGGCCGTTGTGCAGGCGGGATGCTGACTGTAAAGTGCACAGCTGCTCCGGCCAACTGCGCTGCTCTGTAGACAGTGATAAGTCGGATGATCAGCTGTTGAATTGTAGTACAAACATCAACATGCAGGAGTCCGGGCACATCAAGCGTGACCGCCTTCTGTCCTGACAGCGCTGCGGCGCGGTTTGCACCGTGACGGAGACGGCACCGACGGCGAGTCGCATCCGTCCCGCAGGCTGGCTGGGTCGGTCTGTCTCCGGACCGTAAATCGATCTTGCTCGCGCCTTTATGTGATATCCCTCTCTTGATTGGCGTGCGAGACGAAAGGATACAGATACCCTTCCCCTCTGTGAATTTGTGAGATAACCTTTGCGGTTCACCTTGGAAATCATTTCAAAATACGCCTAAAAGGTAAGACAGATGTTTTGATGAGGTATGTGACACACTGTGGCCTCTGCAGTTCGTGTTTATCTCGATTTCTTATGTCAAATTGTGCTTTTTCATGAGTCCAGGCTCTTTCCTTTAGATAGCCAATGGAGCTTTCATCAGACTTGAAGGCTCGTGGACTATAAATTATGAAAAGGGGCCCACTTGTATATACTGTGCGATTAAAGCTCTGAAAGTTACCTCTTCACCGTTAAAGTGAGTTCAGTACAAACCGTTACTCAAAGCTCTGTTTCGCAGGTTAGCTACTACTGTGGTCACATGAAAGTGGTCCTAATTTGCATATCATGAATGATTGATAGAGGTGTATGATGTCTGTGTGGAAGGGCACATAAACAAAATGGTGGGAGGCTTCTTCCTCTTCCTCGTGACCTACAGTATCTGTTGACATTGTCCGATGGGCTCCATTATCTGCAGCTGTGTGTCCCATCGCCCTCTGTCCCCTCTGACTCACCTGAGTTCCTGCTTTCTTTAGCAAGAGCTCAAATTGTAGTTGTACGGTGAGTAGTAAAGCGCTTTACACTGTGATACTATCCCATAATGATCACCAACAGTTCTGTCTTCTGCTTTTTAAAAAGGGTCAGGGGCTAATTAATGTTCCTATGCAACAATGATATTATTCAGGACAGAGATCCAAAGTTAGTTTCTTAACCCACTGGTGGAAATTAAGTACATTTACTCAAGTAGCCTGCTGTTAGTACACCTTTGAGGTATAGGCTACTTGTACTTGACTAATTTCATTTTTTGCTTCTTTATACTTCTACTCTACAATTCAAAGGCAAATATTGTACTTTTGACTCCACTACATTTATCTGACAGCATTAGCTGCTATTTACCTTGCAGAAATAAATGACCTAATACTAATAAATGATAAGGCACTTTTGTAGATTAAACTACCCAGCAGTAGGCATATATAAAGCAATTAAAATGAGCCCCACCTTTACTGGCTACAACATTAAAGTACACACTACACATTCATGCATGCAATTATTATCCAATGTAAAATGATTCTGAAATGGGCCATTCTGCATAATGAGTACTTTTACTTTGGGTACTTTGAGTATATTTTGATGCCAATACTTATGTACTTTCACTTATCTGGGTACATGTTCCAACTCTGCCTCAGCACAGTTGCTTTCTCGTGATTATGTCATTAGTGATGCATTATGTGAATGGATGCACAGTAAAATGTGATGCGTTCTCTCAGCTTTGCTGTTTCACCTGAGTACAAAGGCCTCACTGACTGAGATTGTGGGTCTGTGACCTAAGTGAAGGCATACAAGTTCAAGACAGGGTAAAAGGGCATGTGTACTTTTTTATGCTCTCTCAAAGCTACACTATCTTTGTTTTATCTCACATTGTCTTTTTTTTCAAACACTATTAAGAAATAGGTTGTGCTATACTTATCCACATACTGCCTGTTGCAGGTTGATGGAACACATGCAGCAGAAACAAATCAGCACTGACCCTTGTGGGCCCAAAGTGCAGCCGAACCCCTGTGCATTGATCGGGGCTGGTCCAGGTTTACCTCCGCAGCTTGCAATCCAGGAGCCCTCTCTCATAAGCCCGTCAGACGAGCTCAAGAGACAGTCAGGCTTGAGTCCCATGCAGGCAGCAGTTGCACCTATGAAAGAGACAGACCAAATGCAGTCAGGGTCCACTCCAGAAACTCTGGCAAGCATAAGTCGTCCGAGACCGACTGCTCTTGGAACTAAACCGACTCCAAACACGACCAGAGTCTCAGTGGACCCCTTCAAGGAAATAGATTTGATCCCAGTTTGTATCCCGGGACCACAGAGTCCAAATGTCCTGCTGCATTCCCCGACAGAGTCCTCCTTCTCCCTTCACAGTCAGAGTCCCCACAGCCCTCAGTCTTACGCCAGCCAGCCTTACCTGAACCCCAACCCCAGCCTGCCTCCCAGCCTCAGCCCTAAACCCAGCCTCAGTCCTCAGCCACAGAGGACCCCCTCACCTGGGAGCTCAACACAGAGCCAAGTGCAGTCCGAGAAGCCAGGTGGAGAAAACAATGACTTCAGGTGAGACAAATAACACCTTTATTTAACATTTTTATATTACTTAGCCTGTATGATTTCCACAAGGGGTCTTACCGCTGTGAATCTTTTGACCCTGTTACATCTAAATACAGCTGCAGAAGCTGTCCTGCAGTCAGCAGCTGTAAGAAAGCTGACGTGTGCCAGACCATGTCACATGATGAATCAAAGCTGCAAATTTAACTAAGAGCTTTATGAATCTGACAGAGTGACATGGCCACATTTTGTTGGCAGACTTCCCAGAGACTTACTTTTGTTGTGTTCCTCGCACATGAACAACGGCTACTTGTATAAACTGTTTAAATTTGTGGAACTGTGTTTATATGAAGTAGAAAACATGTCTAAAGGGCCTCAAATGACAGCAATAATTTGTTATTGCTGTTTAATAGCATTCTAAGCAGTTACTGTTTTAAAAATTGTACGTGGTCAGCATTCAAGAAATGAGAGGTTGCTTTTGAACAGCATTTCACTGATGAGCTATGTTGTGTGGAAGTTTGATTTTGTAAACAAACGTTTTGATGTGGATTTCGTCATATTTGACATTGAAATGCTGTTGAACAGCCAGCTGTCCACTTTCAAAACAGTCCATGTTCAGAAATAACATGACAATTATTATAGAACGACGATGATGGCAGAAATCATGAATCCAAATAGCAAATTTAATGATTGATGTAATGATATTGCTGATTTATCGATCGTCAGTTGAAAGAAAATGAGTCTTTCAAGCAAAAACAACAAATATTTTCTGGTTTCAGCTTCTCAAATGTGAGGGTTTGTTGCTTTTCTTTGTCTTTTATAAAGATAAACCAAATCTGAGTCTAACAAAATAAGACATTAGAAGGCATAGCATTTGTATTTTTCACTATTTCTTGGCATTTTTAAGGCAGACTGATGAACTGATTAATTGAGAAAATAATCAACAGTTTAATCAGTTTAATCATAATCAAATTATATTAGTTGCGACCCTAATATAAGCTGCTTGTGATGTGTTCTGTAGTGAAACAGTGTGGCTGGTAGTTTAATGAAAAATACATTTTGCTCTGGCTCTTTTTCTTTCCCTCTTCTAGCACTCTCGCTCTCTCTCACACACACACACACCTTAGTCATCATCGAGGTACAAAGAGGTGCTTAATTGTGCTTATCTTTTTGTTCTCTATACAGCAACATTGGAAGAAAGCTATTTCCCTGAGGATTACAGCACATCTTATGTCCTCTTTCATCCTACAGTATATATAGTACTTAATGCAGCAACTTTCTATCCCTGAAAGGGTCTACATAGTCACATGGAACGTGGGATCAGCTGTCCCGCCAGATGACATCACTTCTCTGTTCGGACCAAATGTTTCAGATGGGAGCGTCGACATGTTTATCATCGGGTAAGCATTTCTACCAGGCTCAGCAGTGCCAGAGAGACAGCCGCGAGTGCCCACTCAGTCATCTGTGTTCACTTTGATCCGTCCCCTCCTGTTACCCATCACTGTCCTTTTCATTTATGTTCCATTTTCACTCTTTAATGACATTTCTATGCTTTTCTGGCACCACACAGACTCCAGGAAGTCAATTCCATGATAAACAAGCGGCTGAAGGATGTTCTTTTTTCAGACCAGTGGAGTGAGCATTGCATGGACACGCTCTGTCCTTTTGGATATGTTTTGGTCAGTAAGGAGATGTTGTCTCATATCAGACATACTATGTACATTTATTTTGCCATTATAAAATCAAGTTTACTGTATTTATATATTATTTTTCATCTATCCCATCTGTTTAGGTGGCGTCCCAGCGTATGCAGGGAGTGCTGCTGCTGGTTTTCTCTAAATTCTGCCATCTCCCATTCCTCAGAGGCGTGCAGACAGAGAGCACACGCACAGGACTTGGAGGATACTGGGTACGTGCTGTGCATTGAAGAGCGTTGCTCTGAGTTCTGCTCTGAGATTTATCACATCGCAAAATTTGTGGTGGGTTTGTGTCAGTAGGGGGTTTTAGGTTGAAAGGTGGAGTGTGTGCTCCCTCCTGCCAGCAGCGTGCGTGGGTCCATATGTCAGTGTGTGACCTTCCCGTGCATGTTGATGTCAGCATCACCCCTCGCTGCTGCTGGTGCAGTCTCCTTCTCTTTGAGGTCAGTGCAGCAGCAGGCTGTCTGGCTCTCTGGTTCTGTGACTCAGGGGCAGAAAAAAAACATCCTGACTTTGTCCCTGAACACAAATTTGGTTGATACATGCCAGTGCTTTTATTTAATTTTAGTTTTAAGGCGCTGCGCATAAGGGATCCACTTCTCACTGCGTTCTCTCTTTGCCCTTGTTTTCTCACTCTAAGGGGAATAAAGGGGGCGTCAGCGCGAGGATGACAATTTTTGGCCACCCGGTGTGCTTTCTCAACTGTCACCTGCCAGCTCACATGAGGAACCTGGAGCAGCGGATGGAGGACTTTGAAAGCATCCTGCAGCAGCAGCAGTTTGAAGGAGGGACTGCCACCGGTGTACTGGACCATGAGTGGGTGACATGATTTTTTACATACAAGTTTAATTAATTCAGCTGAAGATTGGCCACCCATAAAAAAAGATAAACACTATCATTCACCTGTCATAATTTGAAAAAATAAATATCACACATTCATTCATAAAATGCACCAAAATTTCTCAGACCTGAATTGCAGCAGCCACTCACCTCTGATAAATAAATCTTAGCGGGCCATATTAGATAATAGAGCTTAAAAGCCTCTATATGCCTCTTTATGTGTCTTGAATTTGAAGTAACACACATTTTCTTATAATTAATACATTTATAAAATTAAAATCCTATAACATGTTTTTTTCTGTCCACAGTGTCGTGTTTTGGTTTGGGGATTTAAATTTCCGTATCGAAGACTATGACATCCATGTGGTGAAATGTGCCATCGACAGCAATAAGCTGCCTCTTCTGTTGGAGCGGGATCAGGTGAAGCACTTTCAGCACTTCAAAACATCTGCCACTTTACAGAGACTGATTGATTTTTCTGGAAGGGTTCACACCTGTCTGTCTCTTGATTACCAACCACATCCAGCAGAGGGCGCTGTAGCTCAGTGTGAACAAACTGTCACCTGTCAGGCATGTGACATGCTCTGTTTCCCCCATCATTTGTCCACTCTACAGCTCAACATGGCAAAAAACACAGAACCCATCCTGGAAGGCTTCATGGAAGGACCACTCAAATTCCCGCCTACCTATAAGTTTGATGTGGGCACTCATAAATATGACACCAGGTGTGTTCACTTGCCTACATACCAAACATACTACAGATTTAATTATTCTAGAAAGCGAGGCTCAGACCTGTTAAACCCCTGCCTTGACAGTCTGTCCCTCTTTGCTTCTTTTCTGTCAGCGCTAAGAAGAGGAAACCTGCCTGGACAGATCGTATCCTCTGGCGCCTTCGTCGTACCGGTTCCCCAGTTCCTACCCACAATGCAGCACTGCAGCGGGGTCTAACCTCATGGTTGGGTGGGGCGACCAAAGTGACACAGCATGTGTACCGAAGTCACATGGGCTTCACCATCAGTGACCACAAACCTGTTTCTGCCTTGTTTTCACTGCATGTGAGACTATGTTTCCTCAAATACGCTGTAACTAAATGTATTGATGTCATCTCTCTTTGTATTGTAACTTTGCTTGATTATGTTTTATTTAAATATCTATGCTCTCTTTTCTAGTTCCCATTCAAGGTGGATATGCCCCTGGTGGAGCTGCAGGTGAACAAGGAGTGGTGTAAAGTTTCTGATGCTACAGTCCGATTCACTGTTGCGTCAACTTATCAGCGCAGCTCATGGGACTGGGTAGCAATATACAAGGTAATTCTCAAAAGCTCAGGATTAATTCTTACAATATGATGCCGGGTGTCAGTGTTTGACGCCATTTGTTATTTCTGCACAGGTTGGGTTTAGACATCACAAAGACTATCAGGTGTACATATGGGCCAAGGGAGAGCATGCAACACAGGTGTGTCAAATATTCAAATGCACACATTTAGTTTGTGCCACCGCTGAATACAGGGTTAATTTCTTTCCATTCCTCTCTTCACTAGGTGACGTTTGCAGAGGAGGATCTGCCAAGAGATGATTGTGACTACATACTGGGTTACTACAGTAATAATATGAACAGTATTGTTGGACTGTCAACCCCAGTTCAGGTAACAAAACTCAGAGGAGCCATCTCACTGCTTCTTCCAAACAGACATTACATCCACATGTGACTGTTGAATATCTTATTCTAAGTCCATGGCCTTTAGTATGCTGCCATAACAGCTTCCACACTTCTGGGAAAGTTTTCCACAAGATGGGTGACAGGCAAACTCACAGTCAAGGTTTCAGTTCATCCCAAACTGGATGGGGTTGAGGTCAGGGTCCAGGGCAGGCTAGTCAGGTATATCCACACCAAATTGGGAGAACCATTTCTCTATAGACCATGTTGTTTTGTGCACAGTGGCATTGTCATGTTGAAACAGAAAAGGAACTTATCCAAACTGCCACAAAGTCGGTTACACACTGTTGTCTAAAATATAATTATGTCCTGTAACATTAAAATGTCCTTTGATCCTTGGCGGAAAGTTAAACTTTGGGATACTTGTAGTTAGAGATGAAACGATAAGTTGATGAATTAATTAGTCAGACAGAATTGGCATATAATAAATCTAACTATTTTAATAATAGATTTGTATTATTATATAAATCAAGCTGGCCTTTGGGAAGTTGCAATGGGCGTTTTTTTTATTATCTTCATTTATGGACTATTAGTAGATTACTCTGCTCATTAGTTGCAGCCCTTGTTGTACTGTACTTTGTGTTACTTTATTCTTTTATTCCACTATATTTCAGAGTACATTCTACTCTATGTAAGAGCTACAGTTACTAGTTACATTGCAGAATCAGAATTTACATTCAAAACACATGATCATTCTTTAAAATATAAGTTAACCTGTAAGAAATTAATAAAGGATCAAATTAGAGCCACCTCAATCATCTACAACAGGGCTATTCAATTTTTTAGCTTTTGGAAATGACAAATTTTAAACAAATGCAAATGAATGTAGTACAAAATAGAAAATTAAAGGCACTTGCCAGTCCAGGTAGGGTTAAACGGACTCTCATTGTCAAATTTACGTTTCAAGGTTGACACACACATGTATTCAGTAGAGAACTTCCCTACTTGTGTCTGTCAATAGCTAGATGTTTTCAAAAAGCTACTAAGCAAGACCGGAACTCACAAGAGAAAACATTGATTTGTGAAAGTTATGATTTTACTTGCCCCTATATAGATTGTTTTATTTATTAGCAGTGATCAAATAACAAGACTAAAGTTAATTGTAGTGCGTAATCTTTATAAATAATAAAGTAAATGAATCAGAACAAGGACACAGGGTCCCGTTTCAGGAAGCACAAACTCCAAGATGATTATGCCTGAGATGGAAAAGTATTCTGTTAGAGGAAAGCTGATCAGAATTAGTTCAATCGACTCTTGAACATGATGGAAGTGCGTGCATTGGCGATTAAAAAAACCCATTACCAATGGAGCTCCAGTGCAGTGCCAATGGGGACTATGACATTTATCTTAAAAAACAGTAGAGGAGGAAGGAGTCAGGAAGTTAACAGTATTACATGTTATTCAGCTTATTCATCATTTACCAGACTTGAATTTCCTTAATGAATCATAAAGTGCTGGAATCAGCTGTAACCTGACGGGAACAAGATGCAGGTGGCAATAACTGTTAATAACTGTAGTTTACTCATGGACCTATGATTGCAAATTCATAGTCTGATAATGATTTTGTTGATTTGTCATTGAAAATGTGTCTAGGTTCAAACTGACTGTACATTTCTAGACGTCTGTTGTACACAGAAAATAGTGCTCATGTTGCATTTTCTGAAATACTGTCAAACACATTAAGGCTATATGCAGCTAATATTCAAAAACTCACTTTTAAAATACATTTAGTTGTTTCAGCTGCGCCACAGTCTTCCTCACTCAGAAATATTCACAACATCTCCAAAATGATGAACTACGATAGGAATGTTCCATCAGTGCGACTAATCACAACATGACAAATGATTGCTCATTGATCACTTAGCTACAGATGTATACATATACATACATACAGATTTGTTACATTTTAACAGTGATTAATACAGCCCACAGTAAACATGGTAAATGTTTCAGTGCAACTCTTGACAACCGGACAGCTGCCTAAATGTTCACAGAGTCACAGTGTTATGAAGAAGGACAGTATAGCCTATAGATTTTATTTTGTGCTAAAGATGAATTTAATTAACTAATTAAACCCCACTGGGTTGCCTGCTTGAGTTAGTTCTAATCTGCTTAGATTGTGCATACCGGGATAGATGTGTTATAATATGTAGATTCTGTAATTCAATCATTAAGTTCATTTTGAGCATCAAAGTATTATTTATTCAGATTTACTGGCATGGTAAAGGAAATTAAGGCCTGTCCCAAATATAGGCAGGGTGAGTTTAGTGATTTAAGCAAATAAAAGCCCGGGCTATTAATTAGGGCCTGAGAACGTAACGTGTGAGGTCCCTATTGAAAGTGAAGGGATTTTTTTTTGAGTAACCTCAAAAAAACAATTTTGGGGGCCTAAACATACTCGAAAACTCACCAAACGTTGCACATAATTCAGACGCGGCGAAGAATTTCATATTTTATGGGTTTCGCGCAAGGGCGTGGCAAAATGGCTCGCTAGCACCCCCTACAGAATGATGAAACAGGAAGTCTGCCATTTTGGTCATTTTTTGCAATTGACACACTTTGTACTTTAACAAAGTCCTCCTAGGGATGCAGTCCGACCAACTTCAGATTTGTGCTGCGCAGTCAAAACCCATTGACTATTAAAAGTTGTGCAAACAGTGAGTTTTCGTGGAACAGCGTGCCCATGGCGTGGCGTCCAAAATCAATGATTCGCCATAAAACAGGAAGTTATTGTAACTTCAGTCTACATGCTCACATTCAATTCAATTCAATTTCAATTCAATTTTATTTATATAGCGCCAAATCAAAACAACAGTTATCTCACAGCACTTTTCATAAAAAAGCAGTTCTAGACCGCACTCTGTGGTGGTATTTACAGAAGCCCAACAATTCCCACCAAGAGCAAGCACTAGGCTACAGAGGCAAGAAAAACTTCCTTTTAAGAGGCAGAAACCTCGAGCAGAACCATGGCTCAGGGTGGGCGGCCATCTGCCTCGACCGGTTGGGGGTGAAAGAGAGACAGAGAGAGGGCAAGAGAGGAACAGAGAGAGAGGGGAGAGGGGGCAGAGAGACAGAGAGAGAGGGATGGAAGGCAGCCTACACAGTATACACACAGAGGTACATTCAGTAAAGGTGATGTTGCTATAGACTAAATGAAAAATGGTACAGATATTTATAGTAGTGTTAATGATAATAATCGTAATGTTAATGATTATTATAACAATAATAACAATAGGACCAGTAACAATAGTTGTTGCAGCAGAGGGTGTCGAGCAGGAACACGGGGGCAGCAGGTGACTCGCAACCACAGATCCAGACTCCACAGCTCCAGAGCCAGAAAACCTGCAGGAAGTGATAGGAGGAGAAAGGAGAGGGATGAGAAAGCACAAGACTACCGGAAAGGGGAGAAGTCGAGTTAGTAACATGCAATAATGGGATGAGGTTGCAAAAAGAGGGAGAGAAAGTAGAGGAGAGAGGAGCTCAGTGCATCATGGGAAATCCCCCGGCAGTCTAGGCCTATAGTAGCATAACTAAGGGATGGTTCAGGACTCACCTGAGCCAGCCCTAACTATAAGCTTTATCAAAGAGGAAAGTCTTAAGCCTACTCTTAAATGTGGAGATGGTGTCTGCCTCCTGAACCCAAACTGGAACCTGGTTCCACAGGAGAGGAGCTTGATAGCTGAACGCTCTGGCTCCCATTCTACTTTTGGAGACTCTAGGAACCACAAGTAACCCTGCATTCTGGGAGCGCAGTGCTCTGGTGGGGTAGTAAGGTACTATGAGCTCTTTAAGATAAGATGGTGCCTGACCATTAAAAGCTTTGTAGGTAAGAAGAATGATTTTAAATTCTATTCTGGATTTTACTGGAAGCCAATGCAAAGAAGCTAAAACAGGAGAAATATGATATCTTTTCCTGGTTCCTGTCAAAACACGTGCTGCAGCATTCTGGATCAGCTGAAGAGTCTTAATGGACTTTTTCGAGCAGCCTGATAATAAGGAATTGCAGTAATCCAACCTAGAAGTAACAAATGCATGCACTAGTTTTTCTGCATCATTTTTAGACAGGATGTTCCTGATTTTTGCAATATTACGTAGGTGATAATATTGCCTAAAGGAAGCATATATAAAGTGAACAGGTCCTTGGTCCAAGGATCCTTGTGGATCTCCATGACTAACTTTGGCATGCATGGAGGACTCATCGTTAACATGTACAAACTGAAATCGGTCTGATAAATAGGACTTAAACCAGCTTAGAGCGGTTCCTTTAATGCCAATGAAGTCTCTGCAATAGGATCTGATGGTCAATGGTATCAAATGCAGCACTAAGATCTAATAAAACCAGTACAGAGACAAGTCCTTTGTCTGATGCAATAAGGAGGTCGTTAGTAATTTTCACCAGTGCTGTCTCTGTGCTATGATGAGCTCTAAATCCTGACTGAAAATCCTCAAATAAACTATTGCTCTGTAGAAAGTCACACAGCTGTTTAGCAACTGCTTTCTCCAGGACCTTAGAGAGAAATGGAAGGTTAGATATAGGTCTATAGTTGGCTAAAACATCTGGATCAAGTTTGGGCTTTTTCAGAAGAGGTTTAATTACAGCTACTTTAAAGTACTGTGGTACACAGCCTGTTGATAAAGATAGATTGATCATATCTAGTATAGAAGTGCTGACTAAGGGTAGGAACTTCTTTAAGCAGCCTAGTCGGGATGGGGTCTAAGAGGCAGGTTGATGGTTTAGATGAAGAAATTATTAAAGTTAGTTGGTAAAGACTGAAGGAAGCTAAGCAACTAAGATCACAAAGATGCACAAAAAGTTTGTGGTACATGTATCATCCCTAAAACGCACAAAAAAACCTCTTGGAGCCATACCTGAAATCAGAAGGAAGTCAGCCATTTTTGATTTGAATGTGCAATGTACAGCCTGTTTATGGCCTTTTAAAAGGTCCTTACTTTAACAAACTCCTCCTAGGGAATTAATCAGATTGACTTAAATTTTCTACTGTGCATTCTAAAGGTATTGATGATGAAAAGTTGTGCTATCTATGAGTTTTCGTCCGGAGTTTTCGTCCGTGGCGTGGCATCAAAGATCAATTCTTCACCATGACACAGGAAGTTGTTGTAACTTCAGTGTGCTCACAATATTCATTTATAGTCATAGCGACAAGTGCTATTTTAGCGCCACAAAGGGGACACAGGAAGTGACGTATAACACCTTCATGCAGCGCCCGAAGTGCGTAGCAAATTCACAGCAGCACCAACAGAGCTCCAGAATATGCAACGCGGCTGCCTCACAACCTGACACGCTATCAGTGCAAGGGCCCGCCCAACACTGCTTGCACCTTTAATTGAAGTTTCATGTTAAGTGGAGGTTCTCTGCTGAGACACAGAGGAGGGGAGAGGTTGCAGCGTGATACTAACTCAGACACGTCGTTTTGGTGTAACTTTAATTCTTTTAGACCACTTGGCGCTGTTGCTACATCTATAAACATCCTGCCTGATCGTTACAGCACAACTCTCAACAGAGATGAGAAGGAAATAAATGGCTCACTCGTTCGCTACTTCCATACACTAACGTGTAGTTTACTTATTTCGTCATTTATCAGATTTATGTATGCTGGGCCACATGGAGGTTGCTTCTGTGCCACATGTGGCCTGTGGGTGATTGAATAGGTTGGAACATTAAAATGCTGCTTAAAAATGTATGAATCAATGATAATGATTCAATAATATCACTGACATGAGGCAATCTGTTGGACAATTAGTAGTTTTACTTTTGATACTTTTAAGTACATTTAGCTGATAATACTTCTGTACTTGTGAGTGTCTTTAAAATTCTTGTATTGCTACTTTCGCTTAAGTAAAGTACATGGAATGGTGTCCCCATATACTTTTGGTCATATAGTTTCCTTTTTAGAGTCTCCCCTCATGCACTTCTCTTCTCTTGAATCCTCCTTCCTAAACAGATCAAGATTCCAGTCCACAGCCCCACAGTGCAGCGCTCCGACAGCTCAGACATCAGCTCAGAAGACGACAGCACTTTGGTTCTGCTGGCTCCAAACTCCCGCAGCCCGAGCCCTAAAACCGGCAAACACCATCATCACCACCGTCGTAGCCGCAGCCCTGCTGTTCCTGCTCTTTCCTCCAACCCTCTCCCCTCCCTGCAGGGCCTCAGCCTAGGTCCTCGCTCTAAAGAAGGCCAGACTCGCAGCCGCTCACCCTGCTGTGCTGCAAAGAAGGAGCGCCTGGTCTCCCCCAACACTGTGCGGTCCCCCACCATCAGCCCGCTCAGTCCCCGCAGCCCTGTGTCTCCTGGTGGTGGGGTGACAGCACCGGAGGCCCTGATTGCTGCCATCTTAGGTGAACACAGACCACCTCAGGTCAGCCCCACGGGGTCAAACAAATAGGAAAGACAGGGGAAAAAGACACTGCATAGAATATAAACATCAACAGTTAAAAGGAGAAGGACGGCAATATCCATGTACTCAGTCTGATCTGATCCTACAAAGTCACTGTGCTCGCAGAGGCAGCACATTTAATGACTCCTAATGTAGTTTGCAAACATTCCACATTGTAGCCCTGCAGCTCTCTGTTTCTGAGTCTACCATCATCTCATACACTATGTGTATCTTGGAGTCATAGATAGTGTGTCCAGACTCCCAGACTCCTGACGGCAAGTGCTTTTATAGACTCATAAGCTAATATCATACGTAAAAACAAACATATTGAATGTGAAACCAAAGTCAGAGAAAACCTGTGATGGATGTGACCAGTTATTATTGACAGCAATATGGATCCATGTAAGCAGTCTCGTATCAAAATAAGAACCCTGGACCAGAAGTATTGATGGTATCATTGTTCACAAGACAGAGAGTGTGTTTGTGTGTATGTGTGTGTTGCATTGTGTAGGCCTGTGTGTTAAAACATAAATAAAATGTGTGAAACGTGTATTTTCGACCACACAATGGTTTACAATTACAGCTCTATAGTTCTTGGTCTGTATTCATAAAATTTTAGCAAATGTATCCAAAAAACGAGAGCATTTAAACCACCTCAGTCAGTCTGAGATTTACATGTGACCATGTAACTTGAACAGTAATCTTGGATCAATGATCTTATTCTTAGCAGCTTTGTGAATACAGGCCTTAATCTATAGAGTTGAGGGTATGTTTGGCTAATGTGTATGTTTTGCTTCAAGGAAAACAGTTTTGTGTAACTGTGTGAGTGTGCAAATAAAACAAGAACAAACAGAAAGTAAACTTTCTGTTATAATACTGTTTATTGGACAAACACTACTTCAAACGGTCAAGAAGAATTGTACATTGGTGTGTATATAGCCTACTGTGCACATAATACATAAGTGACATATTGGGTCTGTAAAGTATGATTTGATACAGGACAGCATCAGATGGAAAATAGAATGTCCAACATGAGATCATTGATGCTCTTCACTTCAAATGGAAACAACAAAAAGGGCAAACCAAACTGCACACACAGATTTGAGTCATCCACTCAGTAATAAATTTTATCTGATCGGCACCCAAAAATAAGGCATCTGATCCCCCGAAGTCACTCAATCATCATTACAGATCCACTCAAAACAGCTGCCATTCAGTGTGCTTTATCTCTCCACATATTGAGCAGAAACATGTTACATTCCCATTAAGTTTGGCAGTGGAGGAGATTATGTTTTAATGATATAAGTCTGTGGCTCTCAAACTGGGGGTTGGGACCAGAGGTAAATTTGACCAGATGAATAGAGGGATAAGGAAAGAAGATTTTTCATGTGAAATGATATCTCCCCAGGCCTCTAAAAATAGGCAAAATACTTGATACTCTTACCTCTTCAGACCTTTAACCTTAAGACCTTTATCCTTAAAATATGTAGAATACTAGTTGGTTTCTCCTCTTGAGCGTAGCAATCCCTCAAATGAGTGAAGTAGTCTACTTTCACATGTTCCGGTCTCTACAAACCAATCAGGGTAAGTGAAATACTAGACAATCCATGCAATTCTTACAATTATTGAAAGGATACTTTCACTCATAAAAATCCTGAAAATATGTGTCATTATTATAGATATTTTTTACCTCTTCAGTCCTCTAGAAAACTCTCAGATAATTTAAATACTTTGACCATTTCATGTCTCTAAAGATTGTTAAATTATGTAAAAAAAATATTTAAAGACTCTAAATGTCCTTAAATTTAGACATATTGAAGGCCCCAACATATGATTATGAGTAAAATAGGCATGCTTTTTGTTGACTTTACAATTAAATGCAGTCTGTAGGAGCCGGTCACCTGATTTTTTTTTAACCGGCTACGATTTAATTTTCGGTCTTAATTACAACACACCCACTTGCACCACATGGTCTGTGCTCAACAACAACATTGGCCAGCAGACAAATGACTTGAAGAGTCGGAAGAAGTAGAGTAGCTAAATAAAGCAGTCCGATCTGCTCCTCACTTCACCGTGTCAAAAAGCAGTGCGGCCACGTCGCGCGTGTGTGTGAGAGCAGGAGACCGAGGTAAAGACTTTAAACCCTGCCCGGCCTCTCAACGCTACAAGCAGCATCTTCTGGAGGCATCTGAACAGCTAGCTAGCCTGTTAGCTAATTGTGTCAATTGATTAAAAAAATGAACGGCCATCAGGACGGTTTCCATAACAACTCGCACATTGATGAGGACTGCTTCCTCTTCACGTCTGAATCAGTCGGAGAAGGACACCCCGGTGAGTTTTAATTTATAACTGCCTTACTGCGAGGTAGTTTCCCATTGTAACCATAATAATTAACCCGCTAGCCTCTCAAACAAGGTTTTGAGGCGTGTTGTTGTTGGCTGGTCTCTGCCCACTAAGCACCCTGTTCATCCTCTCTGTACCTCTGTCAACACCATTAAAATGGCTCCATGTGATGTAAAATGGGCATAGCTGCATGTAATTCAGACAACCCACGTCCCAGAAAGAACAACAGGCCTAATGTAGGGTAATCCAGTTTTACAGAGTTACTTTTGCTAACAACACGGCGGCTAGCTGCTGAAGCTAACATCCCCGTGGTTAGGACTGTCTGTGTCTGTCAGTCACATGTAGGTCCACACGGGTTGCTTAACGTTACATGAATTTACCACGCCATTTGGGGGTATTCTGTCGACAAAAGCTAACAATAGAGAACCATAAGCACTGCTAACGTTAATGTATTTTTTGTATTTACTGTTGAGTCAGACAGGATAGCTAAACTTTAGCTACCATACGGTGTTGCATCATAACATTGTCACCTAACTACATGAGACAACGTGGAGGGGCAGCAGGTTTGTTATTCTCTGTCCGAGAGAAAAAAAATCTCTCTTTACTTTGGCAGACCCATAGACTGTAACTATATATATATATATATATATATATATATATATATATATATATAATATATATATAATGAGACTTTTAATATCGTCTATTAAACTGCAGACAGTGGATACAGTCAAACACTCATTTGACAAGTGTACCATATGAAGAAGATATGCTTTATTAATCCCGCAAGGGGTATTCAATTTTTTTTCACTCTGTTATTACAAGTTTATATATATTTTAAGTGGGGCTGCAGCTAACAATGATTTTAGTACTCGAAGCTTCTATAGATTATTTCAACGATTCATCGATGCGTCGTGTAAGAAGTACTTTAGCTTGGCGACGGCGGCGCTCCCCCCTACCCCCACAGTAACAGGTTTTATTAGTCTTTTAGGAAATTCATAGTGTGTCATACAGCAAACATCAGACCAGAAACACTAACAGACCAACAACCAGACAACTGCTTTACCAACACAAACATCACCCCAGTGCTATACAAGTCATCCTAAGGTGCAGCTCCCCGACACCCAGTTAACTGATGAGTGTGACGTTACAACCCAGACTCATGGCCCAACCATACAGTCTCTGGGCCCAACCAGGCGGAGAAAAACAAATGCACCTGTGGACATTTACAGCTGAGGACTGCGGCTTACTTTGGCTGTGCTTCTACTCAACAATCAATCATGATTTCAGTTAAATGCTAAAGTTGCTGTTACTGTTACCTTGGCTGTGGTCCGCTGGCAGAACACCAGGTTCTTTCTGATCAGGTGTCCTCGTGCTGTTGGCAGGTGACATAAGTTTCGTGTTAGGGTGGACGGACTGTAAAATTACAGAGTTGTTTTAATTTAACTTGAAATAATCTTAATAATAATAATAATAATCATAACACTTTGGACACTTTCTTCTTCATCCCTCGCTATTTTCTCTCTTCCTCCACTTTGCAAACAGCACCATCATAATGAGTAACAAGTAGCTGCAGTACCAGAGGCTGCAGTTTCAGGACCACAATCCTAGGACAGGTGTGACACCAAAATGAGCTTCTCAACTCCGAAAACATTTAAACACATTTTTTATTCTGTCAATTTTCGTGAAACTGCCGCTACAGTATTTTAAATCTACACAGTTGATTTCTCGCCTAAAAACTTCTCAGAAGTGTATTTAAAGTTCTGTTGTTGGTCTTTAAAGAATAAAACTGTTTGCATTAGGATCTATACTGTACGTGAGCAACGTCATCAGGTTTTTTGCTTGGTGGCTTCTGGGACAAACCATATTTGGACGTTCAACTTCCGTCAGATCTGCGGGCTGCAGCTGGATATACTTGAGCGGGCTGGCTGGCTAGCTTGCTATGTTACTCTCGACAGCCCCCCGTAGCCAATTATCATTACCTCAACCATCACAGAGTGTGTGCCTAAACTTAAGATATTGATTATGTGCATGTCGACCGGTTAACCCTACAGCTGCGCATGTCGGCCGTGCTAGCAGACAGGGTTAACCTCCTACGTGTTGCTGTGCATTACCACCACCAGTCCACTAGATGGCTCTGTCGCAAAAGAACTATGGTCCTAGAACTGCTGTCTCAGGATTGTGGGGGTCCTGAAACTACAGCCTTCTGTACTGCAGCTATATAAAATTGTGTCATGCATAGGTCTCTCTGTTATGTGCGTGCCACGAAGGTCCGAGCGCTGCAATTCTGCCAGTTCCGCCTCTTGCGTTCCGTCAACATTATCAAATAACATTTAGATAATCAATTTGTTAATCGAGACAGAATCTTCCAAGTCCGCATCGCGATGCATCTAAGAATCGATTTTTTTGTATTTTATTTTTTTCTCCCACCCCTACTAATGATGTGCTTCAACGTGTTCCTTTACACATCGCCTTTATAGAGGGTGAGCTAAATATTTGGTATGCATACAAAAACAGTCCTTGAAATCCTCACACCAGTCCTGAAGTGTGTGTGTGTGTGTGTGTGTGTGTGTGTGTGTGTGTGTCTCATGGTTATTACGAATGTTGTATCACCTGCTGCGTTCAATCCAGGTTGGAATTCTGTGACTGTAACCTGTCTTTCATTTACAGAGCACAAACATGTAATGTGCAATGAAATTATTGACGGGTTATTAAATACTGTAAGTCAAAACACTCCCCAGACTCTTAAACCCAGTGTAACGTTAACTAAATAAAACTGTGACGTTGCATAATCAACAATAAACCGGTCTGTTTTTAACTTACAGAGCACAATCGTGTAGCCTAATGTACAATGCGTCTACAATTAATGACAACTTATAAACTACTGTAAGTCAACAAACCCTGCACACTCTCAAACCAGTGTAATATTATAACTAAATAAAACTGTAAGGCTACACGATCAACAATAAACCTGTAACCTCTTTCCAACCAACAGCAATAATTACGGTGATGGCAGCCAGCGGGACGTAAATAATTACGTTAATCGACCACCATAATTTTGGCACGTAAACAAACGCTCAAACATTCATTTCATAACGAAAGACAATCGAGTAACCTCTCGTAGGTCGTAGCTGTAACAAGAAGCAAGTTAACTTTAGATGGCCAATGCTGAGCTGGTGGTGTTTACTCACCACAGGTTACTAACCTATTTGCGTTCAGTATTTCTTTGTTTGGGTCTTGTTGTATGAAGTTTAAAAGCCAAAGTTTATGATGAATGGCACAGCAGCTGCCGGTGTTTGTTGTCCTCTCTCACGTGTGGCCGCGCGCAGCTGATGCTACGTGTTACGTAGGCAGGTTATAGGTAACGGAGGGAGGGAATAACAGCAAGCTCATCAGATGTTTCCTAAAAAAATACACATTGTTCACGAGTCCCGCACCTCGAGTCCAAGTCGAGTCTGAAGTCTTTTGAGGACGAGTCTCAGGTCGAGTCTGAAGTCACTGTGTGTGCGACTTAAGTCGCACTCGAGTCCGAGTCTCTAACTCGAGTCCCCATCTCTGATGTATTCAGTGAAGTTGAGGTCATCAGTACTGGTACATCAGTGATCATCAGACCTAGAGATGCCAGTGATCTGTACCATTTTATAGATCCCCAACAGATATTGTGAGTTAAAGGTTTCCTCATGTGAACCTTTTGTGGATGTGTGATTTAAACAAAGCCTTTCTTTGTTGTGTTTAGATTTCTCTCAAACTGGTGCCAGAAAAGTTGGGCAAAAAAATTCCAAACGTAGATTTAGAAAATCTTATGTCTTCTGTTAAACTCTAACTAAGAAATCACCTGTGACTATATTGTAAATTATTTCTTCTACAAGTTATCATTTCTGGAAAGTCTTTCCTGTGGAAATATTTAGTTTGCACTCACTGAATTTCAACACCACATAACCTGTTTCGTGACAGCTGTTACTCTACTGTCAGCCATTTTTTCTGTCCCTTTAAATTCTTATACTTTGGCATTTAGACTGTTGTTAATCCAATTCTGATAAATGGCTGTATCATTAAAACAGGTGCATGTTCAGGCTCGGTAATAAATATCAACACCTCCATTAGCCAACAGTATAAACTAATTCTACATGTTTTTATTTGTAGTGGGGTGAAATTCAGCTTGGTATAGTGTAACAACACGTAATAAGTCTTGTACCCTGTGTGCATATTTACCAATAAGAAAAACTTTAGGCATTGCCATGAATTGTTTTTATGTGTTTTGACAAGAGCTTGTGTTACCCCATAGATAAGATCTGTGACCAAATCAGTGATGCCGTGTTGGATGCACATCTCAGACAGGATCCTGATGCCAAAGTAGCATGTGGTAAGTCTTCAGACTGCAAAACACATGGAGGCTGTTGTTTACTGATTATTCATTGTTCAAACATGCATGTGCAAGCTGAGGCATGAAATAAAACAGGTCCATCCAATTCTAGTACAGCTTTTGTTTCCTCTATTGAGAATTGTTTTCAAATGTATCTTTTGGTTGCTGTGTGGGATAGGAAAATGCCAAACATTTGACAGTTACAGGTTCTTAAACGTGAGAATTTGCTGCCCTTCTTGGTCTAACATAATAGTAATATTTTGGGGGTTTGGACTGTGGACACAATTTATTGATGTCACCTTTGTGCTGTAGCATGTTGTGGTGGACATTTGTTTTTTTTCAGTTTTTTACAGTCCATATGATTAATCATTAGTTGAGAAAATTGACAGACAATAGTGAAAATAATCATTAGTTGCAGCACTAGCTGGTAACAAAGTTTAACATTACACATGATCAGCATATCTTTAAATATTAAGAATTAAAATAATTTTAGCCACAAATTTTAAGAATTGTTGGCATGCTATGTGCTACAGTATGACAACCTGTGTGCTCAGTTGTCTTTCACCTAGATCTTCTTAATGATCTATTATACTTAGTGTTCCACTCATCCCTCTGACACTGCATGTCATGTTGTCCTCAGAGACTGTTACTAAGACAGGGATGATCCTGCTGGCGGGGGAGATCACCTCCAGGGCCAACGTTGACTACCAGAAGGTTGTCAGGGACACAATCAAACACATAGGCTACGACGACTCCTCCAAAGGTACAGTGATGAAACTTGGTAGCTGTGAGTGTAGTTCACTTTGCGATTCACACAGTTAAAGCCTCTTTCTTATCTATAAACAGCTTTGCTTTGTGCAGTTATTCACATTTGTCTTTGAACCAGTTGGGCTACATGTTTAGGCAGGGCTGAAAGTTATGTACCTTTCTCAGGTGATGTTCCTGCCCTACAGGCAACTTACAATCCCCTTTTAAAGTGAATATTTGATGGAAGTCATGGTGATAATTGACAGTTGAATCATTTTACTGAGGCTCTGTTGTCTTGTTCTACAGGCTTTGACTATAAGACCTGCAATGTGCTGGTGGCTTTGGAGCAGCAATCCCCTGACATTGCTCAGGGTGTTCACCTGGATCGAAAAGAGGAGGACGTGGGAGCCGGTGACCAGGTTGGAGGCTTCATACATTTATGTTCTATGTTTGATCCCTAGCTGGGTAACAGGAGCCAAACGTGGCAGTAACTATGTTTGAAGTTATTCTGACCCCTTTTCATGCTGTGATTTGTGACCGCACCTCTCGCAGGGTCTGATGTTTGGATATGCCACTGATGAGACTGAGGAGTGTATGCCCCTCACTATCATCCTGGCTCACAAGCTCAATGCCAGGATGGCTGAGTTACGCCGAAATGGAACGCTGCCGTGGCTCCGACCAGATTCCAAAACTCAGGTTAGACAAGGAAACGGTACCTCCACTTCCACTCAGTCCCATCTGTATTATTTATGGCAATAAGTTATTTTTACCTTCTGTAATACTTTATTTAAATATGTTTTCTTTCCAAATATGCTTTTTTTTTTTTTTTTTTTTTTTTTTTTTTTTTTTTCTTTAAGAGGGCATACCGAGACTAGTGGTACTAATGTAGACTTACAAATAATACTACTATTACTACTACTAGAGCTGCATCAACATTTATTTTGATTATCTGTTGATATTATAGTTACTTAATGGGCTATAAGATGTCAGAAAATGAAGCATGCCAATTACAAGTTGTCAGAGGCCAGAGTGATGTAATTAGATGGCTTGTTTTGTCAGTTATTCAGTTTACAATGATGTATGTAAAACAGAAAAAACCTTCCAATCCTTACATTTGAGAAGCTCAAACCAGATTTGCATTTTTTGCTTTAGAAGCAATACAGCAATTGATAGTTTTCAGTCACGTGACATGCATGGTGACCTGGAGGGCAAAACAACAGACCAAGATAGCGTCTCACACCGGACTCCCTCGTAGAGACGCTGCAAAAGCAGTCAAATTTTATTTGGATCACCTTTCAACTTAAGAAAAAAGATATGAACACAAACTGCGTGTTGGGCAAAGTGTTGGGCATATCTGATCCATATAACATTACAGCATCCGCTGACGCATTTCTACCGTTAAAAACCCCCTGCTCCCTGCCGCCGCTCGGGCTGCGGTAATGTTTACTTTTACCTTCTGGGGAATCCCACACCCTCCATCCCTTGAACGAAAGAGAGAGAGAGAGACTAAATAAGTTATTGAAGTTAACATTAGTAAGGCATTGACGTCGTCTGATAAAATATGATACAACTTTAGGCTTGGAGGCATTTTAGAATCATTTTAGGAAAACCGGCTTTGTTTCTACAAGCTGTCTTACATGCCCTTGTGAAATCGTCTGGTCTCCTTTTTAGATTTGTTTTACCTCCAGGGAGTCAAACTTTACCATCCTGTTTTATTTCTCTTTTTAAATATTTGTTCTCTTTTTTTTCTCAGGTGACTGTTCAGTACAAGCAGGATCGAGGCGCCATGGTGCCATTGCGTGTCCACACCGTTGTGGTCTCTGTGCAACATGATGAGGGTGTAAGTTTGGACGAGATGTGCCATTGTCTGAAAGAGCAGGTGGTCAAAGCGGTGATTCCTGATGGGTACCTCGACGATGAAACCATATACCACCTGCAGCCCAGTGGCCGCTTTGTTATTGGAGGACCGCAGGTGAGACAAGAACGTCACAGTCGCATCAAGAGAATAAAGTTTTACAAACATTTAAGGAATTTAGATTGCGTCTTGAGATCTTGAAGCTAACTTACATTCCCACAACAATAAGTAGCTGTTCTTAAAGGTGGAGTAAGCAATTCTGGAGAAATCCAATTCCATAACAAATACCATAAACTACGACATCGCAATGTTGCACAGCTAACAAGCAGAGAGGGCGAGACAGTCCCAGAGCCCGCATACCAGCCTCCAACAGCGATACTCACTCTCAATTCTCCTGCTACTTTACCTTACATCACAAAAACAGCATGTCTTGGCAAACTAGAAAGAAAGCTGAACTCTGTGGGCAAGTCACTGACGCATCACGTATCATGTGGTGTGGTGCAGGCTACTTTGTTTTGTATTGTCAGCCAGAGCTGTGTACAAACCCTGGATTTTTTTTTTCAGTGCACACACTGCCACAGCTAGTGGACTGTGAGGAGATATTCGCTGAAAAGACATTTATTGGATTAGAATCCCTTGATCTCACCTTGGATGATTTGGTGAAACGGAACAAAATCATGCAAAATGTTTTTGTTTTAAACTGACATAAACCTCAAAGTTCTGTGTTCTGTCCCACAGGGTGATGCTGGTGTGACTGGGCGTAAAATCATTGTTGATACTTACGGGGGTTGGGGTGCCCACGGAGGCGGAGCTTTTTCTGGGAAGGACTACACAAAGGTGGATCGCTCTGCTGCCTACGCTGCCCGCTGGGTGGCCAAATCTCTGGTGAAAGCTGGGCTCTGCAGGCGTGTGATGGTACAGGTGGGTGTACAGTGTGTCCCAGTGTTAAAGTGACACTTGCCTATCTGTAGTCTATATTAGAGTATCAAAGACTCAACCACCTGTAGGCTTGAAGGTTGGTATTTTCCTATTCACAGAGAGCAGCGAATGTGGTCAGCTTCGTGGTCAAGTTTTGATAAAATTGGAAAATTCTTGCTCTGGAAACTTGTTTAAAGCAAACAAACGTAATACACTAACTTATTTTCATATACACAACAATAATATAAGAATGCTGTGTATTAGGTTATTAAAGACTAATTACTAAGAGATGCAATGAGACGGACAATTTACAGTTGTTCTCAGTCCTTTTACAGTATTTGGACAATCTATGTAATTGGGAGACACTGTTTCTAAATGACCTAAAACATATATTTGGCTTTTCTGCGCTGACATTTCGTGTTACTTAATGCCACCATGTATACTGCTGATAATAAGCTAATGTTTAGTTGCCAAAATATTGATTCGATTTTCAATGTTGGGATTTTAATATCGAGGTGGTTTGTTTTTCGCACGCCTGACCGCCTCTCACAGCGGTGAACATAACCTCCAATACACATGAAAGGGAAAACAAAATCTCAGCTGTGTGGGAGCATTTTAAATTGAGTGATGATAACTGCAGTGTGGCACTTATGGGGTTTATTGATTTTTACAATGGCTTAATTTTAGTACAGATCAGAACAGTAAAATAGCCTACGTTTTAAAGTTACTGTAGGTAACAACAAACAAACATGATGAACTCATTTAAGAAATTCTATTAAGCCTATCGTAAAAGAAGTAGGCTAAAAATTTAAGATAAAAGCGAATTTTGCATAGTAACGTGTTTTAGTTCCGCTAACAGAAATAGTGCTCCCGTCTGCTCTCCCTGGACCCCCGCCCGGCTGAACTATTTACCAGATTCTGCTCTGGTCCTTCTTGGCTCAGCCTCTCAGTCTGGACTCTCAGCTACAATCCCCCTGCTCTGCACAGCAGCCACCAACCCGGTTCTGCACGCATAGTCTTCCAGTCTGCCTCGCTCTTCCCCGGCTCAATTTCTGATCCCTTCAATCCTGCAGTAAATATTTATATTATCTAACTCCAGTCTCCTCCCTCTCTTAGTCCTGCACTTGAGACTACTAGCCTAACCGTAAAAAAGTTAAAATCATAGGTTTGGTAACAATAACTTGCTGTTTTAGTTAGCCTATGCTAAAAAAGGAACTGAGCGCTCTGTCTCTCTTAATCTCTCTGTCACACAAGCACACAGACATACTCTGTTATCTCTCCCCCACGCCATTCTCCCTCACTCATGTCATCGCCAGACCTTCTTGGGCATTCATCCTTCTTCTGGTGTTCTGTGTCTATCAAATACCTAGTACCTAAACCATCCCCGTAATGAGACTGTTGAGCTTCGATTATTTGCTGTTTATTACTATCGGAGCTTCGAAAAAATGACATACAGGACAGCCCTAGAAATCTCTTAATTCATCCTGGGAATGAGGATATCAAGGAAGTGTTTCCAAGACGTCTCCCTTTGGAGAATGAGTATGTCCTTATTACAAAACTCAGATCACATTTTTCACATTTCCTTTTTACCGAGTTCATGCCAGTACTTGATTTTGTTTAGAAATCCAGATGCAAATTTAAAAAAAATTCAGTGTTGATAAAACTTAGGGCAGTCTAGTTTTTTAAAATGTCTCTCAACTCTTTAAGGTATCCTATGCTATTGGAGTTGCACATCCACTCTCCATCTCCATCTTCCACTATGGGACCTCCCAGAAGAATGAGAAGGAGCTACTGGACATTGTGAAGAACAACTTTGACCTCCGTCCTGGAGTCATCGTGAGGTATCCGTGATTTTAATTTCAGATTTTAGCTTGTAAGATCTCATTATACACGTTTTTAAAATTTTTAATTTTGGTTTTCTATAAATGATCATTTTATTTCTGTCTCAGGGATCTTGACCTGAAGAAGCCCATCTACCAGCACACAGCAGCTTACGGTCACTTTGGTCGTGATGTCTTTTCATGGGAGGTGCCCAAGAAGCTGAAATACTGAACACCTCTAATCTCTCACAGGGCCTTAGCTGTAATCACAGATAAACCTCTGTGTCTGTCTACCACCCTCCCTCCTTCCTCCTCCCACCTCTTCCTTGTCATACACACAGCTCCATCACCACAGCCTCTACTAAATGGGAAAAAAATGTCTTTCTCCACCTGCTAGTATTGTACACATCTCTAAGATATTAAATTGAACAGACCCGTTGGCGGAATTGCCAGCTTTTATTGATCTTTGTTAACTTGTATCTCTGCAAATCTGCCAACTATTATTGACAGTATATATTTAAATCATATTTATAGCCTGTTTCCAAAAGGACCATATGGATATTTACCAGTAACAGTGGTGTTTTGTAAGACATTTGTGGAATTTCTCAGCTTTTAAATTCAGAATCTCACCGCAGTTTAGATTTAAAAGTGATTAGCAGTTTAGTGTTGAAGGAAACATCCCTTATATTCCTCTTAAAGCCCACACCACCTTCTTTTGAAGTTTTGATGGCATAAATAAGGTCAAGTACTTGTTGAGTGATATGTAAAATCTGCAAAAAATTTGTTTGTGCTGTCCCTTCAGGCCTTTATTTATTTTTTTCTGACGTTTTACAGAGAAGTCAGAAGCTGCTAATGACTTTTTTGGTTATGTTGGGCTGCACCATGACATTAAGTTTTGTAATTTATTTCATTGGTTTAAATGTCATTAAGTGTTCCAGATGATATATTGCTACTGACCAAGATAAAGGCGAGGTATAGTACTTCCCCTTCCTGAGACCGACTCTGGGTGTAGTTACAGAGAAACCCAGCTCTGTCACCTCTGGGGAGGGGGTCTTTATCCCACAGCAACACCATACTTGAAATATTTTATAGAATGGCGTTTTGACTATTGTGGGACCCAACAGTTTGACCAGCAAAAAAGGACAACTTAATAATGTGTGCCACATGTTTTTGTACCGAAACACTGTGTCGGTCCACTCAGTCGCACACATTTAGGGTCCTTCAGTCTCACCTGCACTGGCATGGAAGAACATGAAGAGCAGAGCCACAGACAAAGAGATAAGAGGCGGCGCACTTTCAGCTTAGTGAATGTAAGACATGGTATTACTGTTCTTGCCTTGTCAGTGTAGTTAGTTTTGTTCACTTAAGGAAATGGGATCAGATATATTGAATCTTTCACTGGAATTGCACAGCACAATGGTTCTTATAGTTACCAGAAGTGGAAAAGGCCTCTGTTTTTAATGTTCTATGTACAATATTTCCATAATGTATGTTGAGCTGGTAGCTGAAGCTTTTAATTATTTATAAAAACATTACTTCTTTTCACCATGGCTCATGGTTGGCAAAAGTCAGATTTTTTCTGAATGGTACACTTAAATCACCCCCGGTTTGTCAAGGTTTACCCCTCTCCTTGTTTTTTCAAATACTGTTGGCGAGTTTACTTGCAGGACATGCAGATAAATTGAGGAAGCATGTGTACCAGAGACCCCGGCTAGATTTTAACCCAAGAAGTTGTAAATGAACCGTATAAGCCTCTTTAATGCTGTGCTGAAGTTACCTTTCTACGTGACTTCACTCCTAGATGTGTATCCTCACAATATAGTTGCAGAGTTGAGGCTAAGCCACCTGTAAGCCTGAGTGAGATTGGTATTCACCCTTTAAAATCACTACAGTCCGTACCTGGTCTGAGCTGTGTGCACAGTAGTGTGCTCAAGCATGTAGCTAGGTGGCATATAAAACTGAATTTTATATTTATTTTTTTATATTTTTTCTCTGAAAACACTGATAATTTGTCTTTGGCCTCTCTGACATCACATTGTAGTTCCTTGAGTGTACTGCAGATAAAACTCAGGTGGGAGATGTTATGTCTTGGACTTTTATTTTTATTTTTTTTTTTACATTTCCAGCCTCTAGGTCTGACGAGGGAAATGATTGGTTGGTTGGTTTTGTACTGAGAAACCAGCCTGTTTGCACTGAGCATTTTTTTTTCTTCTGTTAAATCATATTTTTAATGATTACAGGTGGAGTTGGTCAATGTGGTTGCTGAATGTGTAAAAGTGCCTTTTCTCATTTTCTGCACTGCCCTTATCCCCTGCCCCCAGCTATCTGACTCCTTACCTATTGACCCTCCCCCGACACCCCCCAGTTTATTCCAAAATAAGCAAAATCCTCTTCAAAAAGTCATACTGAGGACTCTAATTTGGTGTTTCTTTTTTAAACCCTGCAAATAAACACTGTAAACACTTGTGCTTCTGGGCTGAGCTTTTGGCTATTTACGTTGTATCATAATGCAGATTTACATGTTAAGATCATACTGTAGATTGAATCCAACCATACTTAGTGTTATAGACCTTAATAATAGGTTAAATGATTTTATTTGTATATGGATGTTCTTGCATGAACTAATGAAAACATATGGAGGAAAGTAAAAATGGAAAAACATAAAGGCAAGGTCTTCATATAAAGAGGCTGGAAAGATCAACGCTTCCAGGTGCAGAATATAAATTCAGCGACACAAAACCATGAGAGTAGTTTACATTCTCACTTTAATTCATCTTATGCTGTTTGTTAGACTGACAACTGCTAATTAACAGTAGCAACAAAGCTATACACACCTTTTATACTATAAAAACATTGGGGTCACTTTTCTTTGGCACAATTAATACTGAGGTTAGACAGTAGAAACCATTTCCACTAATAGTTGGACTTGAACACAGCCTGCTTACAAAATCTATACTGCCAAAAAAACACATACAGGAGATGACAGAGAAAAATCACATACAGGCGCCATCATCATCCTAGAAAGGGTGGTGCATTATAACATACAATTATAGCTCACAATATAAAAGAAATGTTTTCCCAAAACAAATCTATGTAGTCATTGGAGATCCCTGAATTTCTTCATGATTACATGTATTTGTTTCTTGAATTGAGATCTGAGTCATGTTTAAGTAAGTTTTATATCATTAGAATAAATAACGCACACATATTGTGAACTACCACATCGTAATATGTGGATGTGATTTGTTGTGTGAAATATCATGTTACAAGAAATCAAAAATCAAGCCTACTCCTCTCAGGGCATCTGGAACATTTTGCAAACCATCGACATTCAAAGTCAAGTCAGAGCTGCAGTGGTAAAAAATAATCATTATTAATCCTCCTAATGTAGCAGTCTTGACTAAGGCCATCCTCTGTTTTTTTTCAGGCTTTTTGTTCAATGTCTACCCTCCTGAGATCTTGGAACAGTGAGTGAAGCTCATATTTGACAGGGCCTGTCTGCCCCCACCAACCAGATTTTTAGTTGGGAGATTACAGCCTCATACTTGTGATTTGTCTAAGCTAAGAGCTATTAGTCAAGTTTCATATTCAGTTCCTTACACTGAGGTGCCAAAAGTTGACGTTTATTTTAAAGACACAGATGTGTTTACAGATGTACTGTAATTACATTTAAAATTTGCAGTAGCTGCATTGTGTCAGATCATCCCATCCTATTGTTTGGTTCATTCTAGCGGTGAATACTGACATATATTGTAGGCTACAGTACTGTGCAAAGGTTTAAGGCAGGAGTGGAAAAATGCTCTAAAGTAACGTTAATAAATTGTATTTATTGATTAACAAAATACAAAGTGAAATTAAAGCTGCAAGCAGCGTTGGGCAGAATCTGCGAAAATGCCTCCATCGGTATTCCCACCATAGCTGCCCACATCGATGGCCAGGAAACTGTAATCGGCATCCACTAATGCGAGGAGGACAATGGAAAAGGTGTCTTTATAATTAAAAAAAGAGGGAACCTGTGTTTGCAGGGGCCTCAATCTTTCCATACTTTCCATGGAGAGCACCAATACAATTAGCAAAGTTCCACCTTTCATTGAACCTCCTCGCCGCGTGTTTCCAGATGTGCTCTGTTGGAGTTGACTTATAGAGTTCGGTAAAGTTAGAAATATATTCACAGATTCGAACTTCCGGAATCAATTACTCGTAAGCAAAACGTGTTTAAAACACAAACAACGCCTCTTTACTATCGTAGTTAAGTAGACAACAAGCTACAAGTACATTTTCACCTAAATGAGTCGTCCTACGAGCGGCACAAATAACATTGGTCTCTACGTGCAGCCGACTGTGAGACGAGTGCGCAGGGACCTCTACAAATTGCAACGCCGAAAACACATACTGCAGAAATATTCAATAACTTCACACTTTTACAATGTAGTGCCCCTAAAATCACCTTACACATTCATGATATACTACTGGTTATACTACAACACTTAGTTTGGAAAAAAATACTTTTACATACCTAATATTAGGTAGGCCTATTTTTAATATTCATAACTTCACTGTTATGAGCTGTAGTGTCTCCAAAATCACCTCACACATCACTGATATCCTGCTGGTGATACTACAATACTTAATTCATATAAATATTGGTTTGCATATTTTTGGCGAATTTTAATCTTCAATAAAATTCAATAACTTCACTATTAGAGGCTGTAGTACCGTCAAATCAAAGTTCAACCACTAGGGGTCACCTTTGTTTTATAACACAACACTTATTGAGAGAAAAAAACTTCTGCATAGTTTGGGGAAATTTTTGTCCTCAATAACATTCAATAACTTTACTGTTAGAAGCTGTAGCGTCTCTGTATTGTTTCATACAATACATAATCTGAGTATAATCTGTAGTGAACTTCAAGGAAAAACATGAAAGTGATTGAATATTGTAAACTTGTATGCATTGCAGGTTTTGCAAAGTAAATGTTTTCTATGTGTAATTTATTTATCCCCTCGCAGATTCAGTGTGGAACTTGTACAAGGTGGTTTCACACGCAAAAGACAAAAACAAAAAAACATATGGAGCAGGAAGTCTGAGGACAAAATTTAATAACATTCCAACAGTTTTCCTTCAAGTTTTAATTAAAAGCTTTTAATTTTGTTCCTGATTAAAACCCTTGCCAGTTGTAAGCGTACACTTCTGCCTAAATACCTAAGCTATCATTCATCTCAGATTCTTTCAACGTTCGTTTCTGGCTGGTGCCTCTTAGACATGTGGAAAACCCTGTGCGCCTTTGATAAATTCTTGAACGTTGCTTAACAAAGTAAGCAACACACCCTGGCTCTTATCATTCTCATCTTGCTTTGTTGTACATTACTTGTTTCATGTAGTTTTGCATCTGTCAAAAGCAAAGCTACACGCCTGTGTTGCATGTTACTGTCCTGGAGAAACTGGTCTATAATGTGATTGACCTGCAATGGCCTCATCAGAGGGGGCCTCTGAATGTTTTCTAAGCATATCTGATGTGATAATTTCTCCTTTTTCATTTGGGTTTTTAATTTCCATTGGGCCAAGATTTGAAAGGTTATTCCAATTTTGTTGGACATCGCCTCAACATTTTCAGCCTTTGCTGTATCGAGGGCACTTGAGGTAATCTCTGTATTTTGGGAAATGCGGAAGGTTTTGTAACCTGTTACTATGAATTATGTTGAATTTGTCATTCAAACCTGTTACTATGAATGACGTAAATTGGAAATAGGAAATATTCTGCCTGCCTAGTAGTCACTGTTTTTTAAGGAGACACAAAACACTGAAGGACTCATAAGCCATAGATAGGAATTATGTCCTTAGTTTTCAAATATCCCTTTTTCAGCAATTCAGGTAGGACTGGTCTTTTGATGTTTTATTAATCCAGTGTCCATGACCCAGTGGTGTGGACACTGAAACACCAGTTATTGAGAGCATACACCTGATGACCCTGCAGACTTGTTGGTCTTGCAAGACAAGTCAAGTGGCATGATGCATGTGTAGTACAGTTTGACACCATGCCTGTACATTTTAATCATGTTTCACATGACTTATTCTCTGTAACTGGATTTCCTTGAAGGCTTTCCTTTTTAGTCTCACCTTTGCTGGCTGCTAAATGAATGTGTTCAGACCAGTTTCCAATCCTGTCTATTTACATGAATCATAATGGTCCATTAACTTTCTGCTTTTAAAGCAAGCAAGTCACAGTTTCTGTTCAGTTACGGTTTAAGGGATCTGTTTAAGAACTTAGTCAGTGCATTTTAACATTAGCATCGCAACATGCCAAATGTGTCATGCTAACTGAAGGCATGTTAAAAATATAGCATTAAGCATATATATAAATTTCCCCCAATAAGCCTCATAGTCAGTTCTAGTAGAAATGAATAAGAATATCTGAAATGTTTTGCTGTGTACTGTCACTTAGTTGTTATTCTAAACTACAGAAATACAGGTTCCCCACAGTAGTGTGCACGTTTGCCTAATTGATGCCTTAATTACCATTCATCTTGATTTAAAATATTTCCCAAACATGTCTCTCTTGTATTATTTTTATTTAGTTTATGGCAGAGCAGGTTTATCATTCAAGTAATTCAAAACTTGACAGCAGGTCTGAGATGAGTGGGATTCATGAGATGCTGAAAGGACAAAGTACCTGTCATGACAATGGTTGTCTTGTAGTTAATTTATAGTATTTAATAGTTCATTTAGATATGTTCACAAATATTAAAGCTGTTTGCTTTCACCTCTAAATCTAGTGTGTCTATGATGTCATTTTTCAACCAATCAGTTCAGTGTGTAAGATTTAGTGGCATTTAGTGGTGAGGGTTGTGAATTGCAACCTTCGGTCCAGTCTACCACTGGCCCCTAACCTTTCAGAGTGTAGGACTGCTATCTCTTCTGAGACAGCAGAGAGTGACCAGTCAAGGCCAAGATGTCATTAGTTTTTTAAGGTATTTTTATTAAGAAATTATATTTACCTAATTTTTTTGTAATATATTACCATACCACATATATATAATATACCATATATTTTTGTGACTTGGCCACTGACAGATAACATGGAAAATGTAATCCAAGAGTGTATAACACGGTCACTTTTTCTGCACCATAGTCCATTTTAAACCACACATTAAATACATTTAATACAAACATTGACAACGGACTATGGATCATCGCCAAAACTGCCCGCCAACTATAATATCTGGCCTGCAGTCAGATTATGGAGCTATGATAGCTGCATAAAATATAAATAAATAAATAAATACTTTGATAGGTGCTGATAGATTCTGCAACTTTTTTGTTAAAGTGTTGCTCTGTAGCGCTTTTTTTGGCAGTACTATTTTATTTGTTTTACATTACAGAAAATAAAGCAATGTTAATTCTGTTCTATATTTGTTTCATTTTTTTCTCCTAAAAACAAAAAGAACCGATAACTATTAAAGTACTGG